CACATCTAATTGTCAGTAGGCGACCGGCTCCTGCGCAGCTGTCATTGCAAACGCTTCACTCTGTGACTTGGAAGGGATTCGGGCAAATCAGATTTTGACTGTAGAAAGGAGGCAGCATCTGATACGTTAGTAGCTGAGGTACTTGCCGAACGCGGTCTGGCTCACTCAACTTATCACGGCTACTCTCACCAACGTCAAGCCGTCCCGAGTCTCATGCTCGTACATACCTCCAGCGCCGGAGCGACCTGAGCCCGGGCACTCGACACCGTGAAGTAAACGGCGCACTCGACACCGTGAAGTAAACGGCAAACGCTCTATCAACTGAGCTATGAAACGGACAAACGGATGCGTTTTATTCTGATTTTAAAGCCAACATTCGCTTACGACCAAACCAAGGTCATTAACCATTTGCATTGCTTTGACATTTGCTTGTAATTTGTGGAGTCACTAAACATTATGAAGTTTCATTTCCATTCAATAGGCCAACGCGAATAACCAAACACAAACCAATGCATAATTCGCATACAGATTAGTGCAACTAATCAGCTGGAGACTTATGGTATCATGTCTCATTTTCGTTTCCCGCCAATTCGGTAGATTGCATTTGTCACAGTTTCACAGACCAATCGACCTGTCTGCCGAATTTTCTCTCATCCCCTGCCCTGTAACACTGTTGGGCCGGAGGGACAGGTGTGTTTCGATTGTAAGCCACTCCTTCGTTTGACGGGAACAGTTCTGAATCGCTCGCGTCTCACAAGTGAGGCTGCACAGTGCACACCGTAAGACCCGTATAATCCTCAGCTGGAACCATGGCAAGCAAGACTATAACCATCTGATAAGCAGCCCCAGAAATGCAATGGGCCCTCATTTTCGGTAACAGCTCAATAGACGACGCCTTTGTTGGAGATGGTCTTACTTTTTTACTCTATTCACGGGTAGACTTTTTGTCGGTCGCCAAACATTATGCGCAAGGCGGTGCTTGTTGTCTAAATAAATAGAGATGTGCAATGCATGCAGTTTTCAGTGGTCTCCCAAAATATCGCAGCAATCAGGATCCATTATTTCTGTGTGAATGCCTATGCCATGCAGCGTTATAAGAGCTGAATTGAACACCGTATATGCACACCGCGAGGAGTCTGAGCGAGCTCCGGGTGTTCCCCACGATAATTGGAATATCGAGACTCTCAGCAGGGGGCGGGGGGAGGGGGGGGGGCAGACCGACAGCTTCTGTGCGGGTCGGGTCGGGTCGGTGTCTGTAGCTATCAAGCATGAGATCTTATCTAAAACAGTTCCAGTACTCCCCAGTTCCATCCATACAACTCGTTTTTAGCGACAGCTTTCACTAAAAATTGGTAATTGTGAATCGATACCGCTTCACCGCCATTATCAGATGCGGCGGAGAAACTTTTACCAACAGCCACACTTCGTTTAACTAATTAAAACACGGTGACCCGACTAGCTAACTTCTACCATACTTAACGATTCATGGGACACCACGTCACGATGAATTGCAGATAAGAGCGTCTCGTTTTCGTGCGATAACTCGCAATCAAAGGGCCCGCCGGGTCACACATGTCTGCAGAGGTGAAGACGGGCGGCGAAGTTCGACAGCGCGGCGGGGGCGCTGGGTGGTTGACTGTCTGGCAACAATGACATGAAGCCCCTCGCCATGACTGAGATTAATTGAGGGACTGACTAAATAGGACGGTTAGGCAAGGGACGGCCATGTTTTTTTTTTGTCCAGGTTTATTTGCAGATCGTTGGCATTTAGATCTTTCCTAGCGGTGATTCAATTCATCGAGGATAGCTTCGCATTTGGTGTAGGTAGACCATCTACGTGGCAAAGCAAATTCGTTATAAAATTTCCAATTCCTTTATGGTATATTGCTTATCAAAGATCGATTAACCCTCGCCCATGTAGGGGGGGGGGGTTGGTGCAACCCCCCCCCCTGAGGTTTTTCGGAAATAATGCAAAAACGGCGGCGCGCAGCGCCGCCAAATTTTGGGTACCCTATGGGGCAAACCTTGCGCATCTTTTGATAAAAAAAAATTTGACCGGGTCATGTCAGGTCACGGAGTTATGACGTCACAAAGGGAACAGCCTCCGGCCGGATTTTCACAAACTGAGTGCCAACGCCCGAGGTTTCCTGCCGGTGGTACGGACATCGATTGATGGATCGTGATGAAACTTCCCATGCATGTTGGAGCAAGTATTGGCTATCATATGGTATAAGAAACTTGACCGGGTCAGGTCAGGTCACGGAGCTATGACGTCACAAGAGGAACAGCGTCCGGTACTATTTTTGAAAAGCGCCCGAACCACTATTTTGCTAATTCCTGTCACCTCAATGGGAATATGCAGCAATATTAGCTTCTATAGGGAGCAAATGGACCTTCCAAATCCAAAAATACAATCAGATTTCAAAAATTTAAATTTTGATTTTTCGAATTTCTGCCGCCGACTGTGACCTTGCCGACTTCCGGCGCTCCCAACGCGCCATTTTTAGAGCTAGGGAAACGAAATACATACCAAACGATAGAGAATTGATCAAGGAACACGATAGTGAAGGTTTCAAGTCGATATCTCCCACCGTTTTGCCGCAATCGCCGCGGAAAGTTGAAAAAAGTCTATTTTTCCGAAAATTTGACCTTTGACCGGTCAAAAGTAGGTCAAATGTTGACCTAGGACCAAAAAATTTACCACCAATCGCGAGATCTCGGCGAGAGCAATCCGTTGGTCTTTTCCGCTAAGCTCTACGACGCTCCGTTTTCAAACGCCAAGGGGGGGTCGCACCAACCCCCCCCCCCCCTGCATGGGCGAAGGTGGCAGATCGCCGTTTACGGGCGAGGGTTAAAACGAAATGTCCATTTTTCATACAGAACCATCTAACATAATTTAACAAAAAGGCTGAACGGCGCCTTATCGCCCAAAAGCATTCATGAATATCTGCATTAAGAGGACATCAGCTTGTCGCAGGTGGTGAACGGTTCGCCCGGTGGCATAGAGTGCGGCTTGACGGTATCCCGCGGAACCCCATTTACTGCAGATTAAAATGTAATTAACAGCTCAACAGGCAGTGTCCTCACGCCTACATTACTGCCGGCAGGTGCCCGAGAACGCTGAATAGCCCAGCTCTCAATGACGGAACTTTTCCGGGAATAATTTTGTTATGCTAATAAGCTTTACTTTTCTGACTTCACTGAACAGTCGACTCTCATTTTTGCAAAAGTAAATAGTCATATATGCAACAACACATTTTCTCGATATGAATAATGAGATGCCTGCTTATGACCAAGCGCATAAGAAATCGTCGAGGTAAAAGTCGCATGAGACTAGTGTGAAAAGCTTTCAGAAGCGATTGAGTGAGAGATAGGTCGTTACTAAGGCGGTCCAAAGTCACTGTGAAATGCGATAGCCGGTATACTTGAACGGCCATCAAATGCATTATGCAGGAGATGCAATACTGGAAATTATCGCAGAGCTGCATCCGTAGAAATTGGTGAAGCAGCATTCGACAATGGACGATTCTTGATAAGCAGCGCTGTTTTGGAGAAGGGCTTTACCGCGTCATCAGCCGAGTTCCATCCATCATGCAAGGTATCTTCACACCGTTTTGGTGGTTGTGTCTCAGCACGGTCACAAACGATGGCTCACCTAATCAACCGGTGGCCCCGTTCCACACCACCCACGGTGAGAGATGGATCAATCGGCCTGCAATGTCGGCCAGGAGAACAGCAGCTGGTGCGATCCGACCACCGACCGACCGCTCAGCCGAACGGAATGGATTTCCGCTCCGTGACATTTACTAAACCGGCAATAGATACAACTGAGACTGAGCCACTTTATCCAGACAAGATGATTCTTGTTGAACCGATGTTTGCCCATGTGAGCTGTGAATGTAAAAATGCAATGTTACTGCATTCCAATGCATCTGAAGCGGCTAGCATGCACCAAAGTCTCTGTCATTATGGCAAAATATTCGCATCCGGGCTCGCTGCCTGAAATCTGTCCTATACAGCAGGACAGACTCTTACTTCCAATTAAACCGCCGACGCGCATCGCTTCTAGAGCTGTTTCAGACAGCTCACAGTGGTCAGTAGAGGCACAATGTGTTACCATGCTATTGTTGCAGTGGGGTATTGCCCCACATCGGCTTTAACCTCTCGAGCAAGACCATTACTGCTCTCAACGGTGCGCGGGTGATATAGGCAGAGCCGGACCGCATGAAATGGCCATGGCGAGAAGCATTTGGATCGAGAAACAAAACAAAACAAACAAACAAAAAAAAAAAGATCGAGCGTATTTGTAAAATCGCGAGTTGTGAAATAATTTCGAACTTATGATCTACTGTGTTACGATTCCAATCCCGTATTCACAGCATTGCAAAGTGAAACACAGAAGTTCAAGTATCCCACCTAATTAATACCTAATGCATATTCAGTTGACTTTTTCACAATGAATTTCAATTGGGATGGATCCACTTGGACGGCTCTTGGTTTTCCATACTGGAAACAAGCTCATCAGTTTGAAAATTCCATGGCTTCTTATAATCAGGATAATCATCCTGAAGGCGCCTCGCGTTTGAGCGCATAAACGAGAAACGATGGCTCTTTCAGTGAGCCATAACGACGTGAGGATGAAGTTGAACGCCGTCCACAGCCTTGAACGAAAGGCATTGCATCAAGCTGTTGGAGAAGTAACCCCCGAGGTTCCTTGTCGAAATGGCGACATATGCATGCGTGATGAGCAAAATGCATTCTGCTTTACAAATTGAATTGTTTCAGCTTATTTGAAACGCTGTAAAAAGGAAAACAGCTAAGTGCTGCTGCTGAACCGCTTCAAATAGAGACAGAGTTCGGTTAGGATATATAGACTCACAAGTCACAATTGTGTACTGTTTCTCTGCTAAAACTGTTTTCCATCACTCAGCAATATAGCGCCTTACGATATAATTTCCCTCAACTGAAAGTCTCCCACAACCCCATCCCCCGCCACTCACCTTTCCAGGGAGACGGCCGTCAGGTTGAGCACCGACGCCATGGCCGACAGTATCCCAAAATACGCCGCCATCTTGCAGACTGTCCCTCCGACGTCCCACTGGATGACGAACAGCTCCAGATTCTCCAGAGGCGCGCAGACGCTCAGCAGCAGCAGGTCGGCCAGCGAGAGCGACACCAGAAACATGTTGGTGGCCGTGCGGGACTTGCGGTCGCCAGCCATCACGAACACGACCACCAGGTTGCCGATAACGCCGATCAGAAACGTCACCGAGTGCGTGATGACGGTCGGTATGAAGTACTCGTTGATGACCCAGGGTCGGAGCATTTCCTCCGGGTTCTCCATCTCCCAGAAGTCGAGGTTGTCGTCGGAGAAGTTGTATGCGTCGTACATGTCCGGCGCCGCGGTGGTGGTGGTGGTAGTGTCGTTGGAGGCCATGCTGAAGGACTTGACGGAGGCAGTCGTGATGCCGAGATCTGTCATCTTCGGGCTCGAGACGTTCATGGTGGCGCACTGCAGCCACTCGTGTCTGAGCAGCAGCAACAGCGTCACAATACCGGATCAGAGATCTGGGTAGGGTGATGTCGGGTCTTCTCCCGCTGATTGATGAGTTCCGGGGCGGTCAGGGCTTGGCCGCCGAGCTGATGACCACCACTCTGCAAAGAGCGTGGGCAGCTCCGACTGGCAGCTCCGACTGACAAAACTTCTCCGGCTGCCGGGTCTCGCTGGGACGATGACGTCACTACGGTCCAAAGACGTCACGGCGGTCCAGTGACGTCAGCCGAGTGCGTTGCCCAGCGGTGTGCGTGCGTTGAGGCCAGCAAGCGTCGGAGGTCGGCTCACAGATGGACGGTCGCCGGTGACGGGCGCTCTGGAAGCAACAGCACAGTTGTCAGAGCTGGGAGACCAGCCAGCGGACCGCCCCCGCCCCTGCCCCCGCCCCCGCCACGGGACACCGGAGAATGAAAGCACACAAACGAGCGGGCCGTCAGAACCACTCCGAAACACTGTTGCGGCCCGGCCGCCCGCCGGGCTCCACCGGGCCGGCCGACCGATCGAATTCCACACATTTGTCACACTCGTATTGGCTTTCGAGGGCGGGCACAGAAAATGAATCTGTGAGGTGATGGGATGCTGCGAGCCAATTAAATGTGCGTGGTCCATGAGTGATTTTGATTGATAGCGCAATTAAATGCGGTGGCATATTCATTTGTTTCCTAAAACCTGCTTTACTCATTTTGCGTTACCTTGTTTCGTATGCTCAGCCTAGCTGTATCATTTCTCATGACGAATCAATCCTCTTCACTAGTTTTGACTATTAGATATTGAATTAAATGTTTTATTAGTCTAAATCACACCCGTCGATTGCCAGGGACTAGGGAGGTCGGTGCGGAGGCTGGTCGTAGTAAAGGCCGTCACGAGCCAAACACACGCCACCGAGGAAAAATCTGAGCATCTAATTATAAAAGGTCACCGAGGGAGCCGTTTGCATATACGCAGTCACCTCCGCCACACTTCTCTTGGGCGGTGAATTTCAACGGAGTTATAAGCCGAGGAGCTGAGTTTAGCAGTTTGTATATTTGCGGTATGCTGAGGCAGGACCTTGTCTAACACGCTAACTATTCCTGCCGCAACAATAGCTGCGTCTGTCACTGTTCTGAGCGGTGAGTCGACGCAGTCGTCCGCTGATCTATCGCCGACACCTGTCGCGCCCGCCCCTGTCTGGAGATTTGGCAACAGTTGCCAGCTGGAGGCGCGTCTGTGCGACACGCACAACACGCGTCCCAGCTGCCGCCGCCACTCCTCGAGGGCCGCCGGCCGCCAGCCGGGCCCGAGCCAGGATTTATCAATTGCCAGCGCCGCCCACTCGATACAGTGTCTGTCAATCACGGTCGTGAGAGCGGGCTCCATATATAGAACGACATGATTGACGGTTTCGTCAGATCAAGAGCACTGCTGTCGTTGTGCACTGTAGAGGTAGCGATTTATTGTTCCTGATGATGATATGAAAGATGGTTGGTGAATTTGGACGTGGTGCTCGAAATCCCAGAAATCCTATCCCAAACTCGGAGCAGAACCAGAAAAGGAATAGGCACTGTCGTCTGACCCTTGGCCACTGACCATTGCTGGCGGCTGTGATTGGTCACCCATTTCCCCGTCCGCGACATTTTGACCGTCCTATTCTGCCGTCCGCCGACCTCAGACATTGTCCTATCTCCTGACAATATCCCCCGCTTCTCCCCACCCATCTGTGGCCCATATGCCGTCGTTCGTAGTGTTCCTATGACGGGTCGTATCGGCGATCGTAACGATACGATCGTAACTGCGGCAGCGCTGTGCGACCGTCGCTCTCCGGCTGGCAGTGCCGATTTACGACCGATTCTCCATGTCGGTCGGTAGGTTCGTGGCGAGTGACGGCCCGGCCCGTGGTGGTGTGGGACTGTTACCAGGGGACGGAAAATGCAGTCCAGAAATGTAGACTTAGAGCGACAAACTGCGTGTGACCTGTGGAGCATGATTGACTCATATTCTTTTCGTTTCCATAGCGTAACTCGGCAACATATTTTCGATTTTTATATAAGTGTCATGGAAACATCACTTGACAAACATCCAAATATAATTTCAGAGTAAAAATATATTTATACTCTGAAATTATATTTCGATGTTTGTCAATGATATTATAATATCATTTTGTAACATAAAAAGAGGAAAGAATTGAAATGTTTCTTTTATCACCGAGCTTACATCAGCATGCTTACATCCTGCTCTATATCTGTCACGCTACCGTGATTCATATTCCAGCCATGAACTTGCACAGACGGGACCACAATAGTCGTAAAGGTCACTGCGGAGCTCGCCAAAGGACCATGAAGATAAGGGCAGTCGTTACGGCTGACCGATAACGACAGAGAACTCCGCATGTGCTCGACACTAATCGTCTGTATACAGACATGCACACATACATCAGACAGATAATTTTGTATCGCTATCCATAAGCAGTGACGGGAGCATGCAGTCTACTTCAGTTTCGTCTGAATAATGTTTCTCACAACAAAGCGAAAATACTGCATTTCAGTGATACTTGCCTTTGTTAGAATTTAAATCGCTGTGCTTGTTCACTGCCTGTGCCTTAGTTGACGGTGACGGCCTGGCGACTGGCACACATTTTAAAACTACCTGTATTATTTCTAAGGGAAACATCCCGTCAGAGCTGCTGATTTTGTTGGGCCGCCAGTTTTACAGCGGAGCCGTTTAGAGTTTCCGGTTACGCAGGCCGCGCTTCTCATGAGCCGGTCAGCTAATGAGAGAACTGGTAATGGACCCAGCAGTTAGTCGGCGCTCGGCCTCAGCGCCAGGGACAGAAATGGACCCCACAGCCATAAGATAGGGATGAACAACGACGTGCACGCCAAGAACATTCTGCAAGAGGCTTCCATGTAATAGCTACTTTTTGGCTTGAGGATTTTCAATTTGAAAAAAAAATCACTCGCAATAAAGCTGCACTGGGAAGAGCTGTTTAAAATGTTTTCGTTTCGTCACCGATTTTGTCACTATTTCGTCATCCTATATATTTCCCAATGGAAAGCCTATTAATTCCATCAGTCAGCCCCAAAGCAATTTTACTCTGACGACTGCGTGGCGCAATGACCATTTCGGGAAAATCCAGCCAACGCCCACGCCGACCCGGATCTGTTGTGCGGTCAAATTCCGAAAATGTCACGTCATGATCACCCTTTGAGTGGCAATCAACCCGTGTAAACAGGCCTCTAATCACCGACCCAACACAATCACCGCTCTTGAACTTTTCCGCCAAATTTAGAGACCTTCCCCGAAAGCGACATCAAACTCGAATACAGCTAAGCTACGAAGCTCACTATAAATCCCCATCGCTCCTTCATCGGTCACATACACACTGTTTCCGCGTAACCGGACGCGGCAGGTCGCCATCAGCCACCACCAGCCCCACGTCCGCTCACATAGCCGCGGCACCGTCCTGTCGGGAGCCAGCCGTCTGATTCGTGCTGGGAAGGAATCAGCGCCGCCTGTCCCCGGGGCATCGGTCCACTCTGTCCGGCAGATGAGCTGACCCGACCAGTGACACGAGACTGGCTGCCCTCTGCAGTATCGGCAATCAGAAGCTGCAGAGGCTAGTTCACCTTCGGGAATATGGTCGGGATATCTGACGCACGCATGATTATTTCGGGCGGATCGTATAAGCAAAAAATACACGCTATAGATAGATACTGTGAGAAAGAGCACGAGGGAGAGAGGGAAAGGGGCTGAGGGAGAACTTGTGAGCCACCCAGGACTCCGAATTTTACTTAACATTTGTCGCAAATAACGCCAAAATGAAAATTTACGAGATAAGGTTTGTTATATCCGAAATCACGCGTTTCCAACAAAATACTGTCAAGAAATCCCAATTGGAGTTTCACTCACAGCTCAAGCCAGGCCTCAATTCCCTTAGAACCTTCTCATATATTTCGAAAAAGCTGTTTTCGCACGTATGACTGGCGTTGCGGTGTCCCCTGGGATCCGGTCAGGATCCCAGGGAATGGATCCAGTCTGGCGCCGGGTATGTCCGTATAAGCCGCCCACACCATACGAAGCTGGTGAGGAAGCTCGGAGACGCGGAGGAGACACCGCTGCCGGGTCTCATTGGAGCATAAATACGCCCATTGTGAGACGACAAGGTGCCACCGCTGAGACGCCCGTGTTACTGATGTGAATATCATGGACCGATGGACCGGGCGATGTTGCAGCGATGGCGGCCGTTATCAGAGAGAGAAACCCGAGAACAAACGAGCATGTTTTATTTTATAGATGAGTAAACTCGTTTTAAGAAACGAAAACGTGTAGAAATAATTTAGTGTGATGACGTATTTTAATATCATGCGTCTTGCGCATCTTAAAGAGTCATAGTGAACACTAAGCAATTAGCAATGCTACTTTATGTGTCATTGACGACATAAGTAGGCATTGGTGACCTTTTCACTGCATCTCTTGGTCTAGCTTGAGAGTTATAGTTTTGTCTAGACCAATGATTTTTCACACATCACGTTACTGATCTACATATAAATTACACTTTTCCTTGCGTTGGTTATGATTATCCAGCTCGCCGCTGTGCGAGCAAGCCTTACATAGAGAAACTTAAATAGGCACTCCCATTAAAACACTCCGTAATGTTTAACGAGCTCTATTAATCTATTCATTAACTCTGATTAAAGTTGATTATAAACTTTCAGATCTTTCTTAGCCCTTCAATAAGCCCTTAAGAAACAACTCATATGTTCTTGAACAGTGAATTAATATAAACCATAATCGTCCGTAGAAATTAGTATGAGCAGTCACTCGCAACTGTGGGAAAGTTTGCCAACAAAAACACTTAGGACCAACGATTGAGTTATTCTGGGAATACTGCAAACGGCTTATTGAAAAACTCGGCAGTTATTGTGTGTATGCTGCAGTTCACAACACATTATTTATTTATTTATTTCATGGTGTCATAGACGCTATAATAAACTTTGCTTAGCTCGATACTTGATGTCAAAGTATCATATGAAAAAAACTGCAGTCGGTATACCAGTTTGGCTTTGGCTATACCAACCAAAAAATGTCATTCTGAAGTAAAAATGCAGCTCTTTGCATGTAAGCTATTATACATATCCTTGACAACAACCACAGGTATTTCAGAGCTTATTTCTCGAGCCCTTGATCCGCTATTTCGTAGATTATTGCCTCCTATAAAGCAAAGTATAGAGCGAATCAGCCACACAGTAGCACAAAAGTATACACATTTCACTGTCCGGGGTATAATGAGAAGGCCGTCCTATTCAACGAAACATGCTTAGCATTAGCTAGGTTCGTGTGGTCGTATATTGCACATAATGCATAACATATGTATATGTGGTGCTCATGGGTTAAGTTTGAAAGTGGTAATATGTACTGGTAAGTTTCGTACCTAAACCAGTTAGCACGCATCACAAACATAGCGAAATGCTGAGAATATTTAAGTGGACGATTTAATCATTGTATAACGAAACGTTCCTCCCTATGTCACAAATCAATGTCCTAGCGAGTAGCGTATGCCCATTTCCGCTCCTATAGTGTAGCATTCTTATTGTAGGTTTTCAATGAAGTTGTAGCTTTTTATCCAAGCCACTCTTATCGTCTTATTCAGGTATCTCTTATAAGTGGCATTTTGGTCGAGGGCTCAGCGCTTTCTCTTCCCACTTTTCTCACCGCAAACACTACACACGCCTGAATGCTTATAGGGGTCCGTACTGTCTATCAAACAAAAGTCAAGTTTCATTGAAAATCATCGGTTTAATAAATCAAATCTATTTTAAAAGGCCTTAAAACTGGGCGGTGTTGATTTCAAAGCATTTCATTCCATTCATCTTCCAGAGAAAAATGAGATCCAATCAAAAGTTCACCGAACGAATTAGCACTGGCAAGTAAGAACGAACTTTGATGCTAGCAAATGATAAAATTAACCATCCTTAGATATACTGATGAAATAGCATGCCATCACCTCTGCCAATGATATTCTTTGATCTCAGAGCTATGTCAATTTCAATTAAAAATCCTAAGGCAACATCCCTGCAAAACATAACCTAATAGATAGGTACGTGTTGCGATTCGTATTACGCCATTTTCTATCGTTAACAGATAGCAAAATGCTGCTTTGCTTCAGAATAGCGCCGAATGCAGTTCATTGCTACCTACCCAGAATATACATTCTTGGACGATACCGCGAAAACGAAATACTTCTATCGAGAGTTTTCAAAGGATTTCATGCACGAGGCCTTGGCCGAGTGCATGAAATTCTTTGAAAATTCGAGTTGAATTCGAGATAGAAATATTTCGTCGCGGTAGAGTCCTAGATATTCACGGTCATAGAATACTATGACTGAATACTGTAGATATTATTTCCTGTATGTTTCTTAAATCGTTCGTTTGTAGATATAAAACTTTATCGGAATTCACTGGGATTGTATTGCGTATGCAAGTCCAAATATTTCGGCCAATATTGTTTGGCCTTGGTCACTGGACAACTGGACAACAAATCGTTCGTTATTTGCTTAAAAAGGCCGAAATATGCATAAATAAAATACAGTAACATTAACTACACGTTAAATACTGAAATACTGGCAGTTCTGATTACTTAACAGTTCAGCAAAGCTTACAAATTTTCTTTAAAACAGAAGCCCTCGGTGAAATCAAGCTATCCAAGAAAACCATCCAAGAAAACGTCTCGCGCAAAGTTTTTTGGATGGCTGGATTGCATCAGGATTGCATTGCAAGACTGCATCAAACACAAGCATCAAACATACAGGAAAACACGTCACACGCTTTAGGCATCAGCAATGATCATAACCAGTATAGGGTAGGGATGCAATGAAGGAGGAAGATCGGGAGAATCAATGGAGACTCACTTGTCTGACGCTCCTTAGCAGATCGATTTATATTATGCCACAGGATTAAATTAGTGGAGGAAGTCGACATAGTGAATGTAAGATACGGGAACTTTGACCTTCTCAGATGATCATCAAAGGCAGTATAACCTTTACCGTTTGGTGATGACGCAACGGCCATCAAAAGCATTCACCAAAGTAGGTATTGTTGTCGTATATAAAGACTGGCTTTTTTTGTAACACCGTCGTATAATAAGAGTGTTTATTTTTTATCCATGTTTACTTACACCCAGCATTCGAAGTTGTCCAAAAATAGTTATTTCGTAGCTAACTGGCAATCTTTCGGGCACCAAAGGACCTGGCAGTGTTATAATATTTGACATAAAGCAAAACGTTTGTTTTAGTTCAGCGCTCAGTTGAAATTATATCAACCAGAGTCAGAGTAACTATACATTCATAAGTCCAGTCAATAAAATCGTTCCCGGGTTGTGTTCAAATTACGGAATACCCTGTCATACTTGCAACAGTCGCACTTTAAATGCATTACGCACACAAACACACCTACACGTACACAAGCACGTCGACACACAGGTGTTATCTGCCCGTAATGCGGGCGCTTGCCGCCCTTACCTGTACGAGGTTCAGTGACCCGCCTCGTCGTTCGAGACGAAGTCGTCACCAAGGGCCTGTTGATCTATCTCTTTCCCGCTGGGCGTAGTCCTCTCCACCGTCGTCTGTCTATTCTCGACGAATGCCGACGCTGATCGACGGTGTCGACGAGTCCCGACGGCGGGCGCCGGGGTCTCACCAGGTGCCCGTCCGTCGCCAACCGTCGCCGGCGTCTCAGCGTCGCTGCAGGCGCCGACTGCTGCCTCGGGGCGTCGCCGGGGGCAGCCGGGCGCCGCGCCCGCGCCGACACGACGCAGCTTTGGGGAAGACTGGAGCAGGAGGGATAGGGGGCAGAGAGAGAAGGGATGGGAGGAGGTAGGAGGAATAGAAGGGACGGGAAGGGAAGGGAGAAGTTAAGAACATGGATAGAAGTTGAGGGCCGCGAGGAACATAAGGAACGGGAGGGGTACAGGGACCGGGAGAGAAAGAAGGAACGAGAGTTATAGAAGGAACGGAAGACAAATAAGGAACAGAAAGAGGCCCGAGCTGCCACTTGAGAGACAGGAAGGAGTAAAGACATTAGACATAGATATACAGACGGGTAGAAGGGATGGACCGTGGGATAGCCGTCGTAGGAATACTGAGAGTGAGGGCGAGACAGAGATGATAGGAGTTATGTAGATGTAATAGGCAGAGCACTCTACAGCGGGCAGCTTCCCCCTGGCCCGCTCACCAGCGCTGCTGGAGTGAGCTCCGATACCTAGCAGAGTACGACCGGCCGGTGGTGACGTCACAGCCCCTCCGGCGAGGTCAGGTCGGGTCATTCCCCTGTGCCGGTAGCGACCAGTGCGAGATGCCTCAATGGAACCTTGGGTGGAAAGCCTTCAATGTAGGTATGTATAACAATAAGGCACAGTACCTACCTAAAAATGAAATGTCATCATGGACAAATGAGCGAAAATATATCGAACTTATCTCGGGTTCCAGAACAACTCCGGATCATCAATTTCAGGGTGACTGTGCTTTCGTAAAGGGCGAGCCATGGAGAGGCGCTAACTGAGCCGGTGGAGGCGATGAAAGTTTGTTCTGGTAACAGATGAGCGCCTTGGGTCGCACGGATCCGGACCAAGGTCCAACTGAAGGTCGAGACGACAGTGCAGTGGTCCGCAGTCGTCCCCCGAGAAAGGATATCTTCAACCACACCACAATCTACAATCCCTAAAGTAGAATAACATTAATTAGGAATTGGCCTAATCCAGGCTCTGTAGATAATTCCAGCAGCTACACTTCCACTCTGCCCAAGTCGCAACGCCCCCATCGGCCTGCATCGCTAATACATGATTCCGAGCTCAAGCTGAGAGAACTGTTCGCCGACGTGGGCTGTGTGAGAGAGTATGGAGGGTAAAGAGAGTACATACGAAAGTGTGGAGCGATTGACCTTAACTGTGTTTTCAGGGGCTGACAAATGAGTGCGTGTGTGGGGGGGGGGGGAGGGGGCAAACGCTATAAAGATTATGACTACGTGTGCTGATTCTCTTCATGCATTGCCGTAGTCGGCAATGTTTGAACGCATCCGAAACGGTTGAGCTCGGCGAATCTAACGAAATATGCATTCATTCAGCCACCGATTCGGCTCCACCGGACGTTACCGATCAGACTCGGTCGCTCAGACACAGTCGTCGCTATCAATGACAGACCAAGGTGTTACGGTCAGAATTGATAGTCTCAGGGTGAACCATTTGTTGCAGCTAGCGGCAGTTATCACACAATTCGCACTGTGCAGGATTCGCGGACGGCAAGTGATGGTGGAAAGTTGAGGACGAGCGGTTATACGAAACCGCTGAAGGGGAAGAACAAAGTCATATACAGCTACTCGTATATGGCATGAAATGATATGATGACGCCAAGTCTTGCCTTGGGACATCTTCATGGGCAGGTCAGCCTTTAGAGCTGCGGCTCATCCCAGTCCAGTTGGAGGACGTCAGTCGGGAAGACAGCCGTCGGCGAGAGACGGTGACAGGGCCGTATACGGCGGATCTGTGCCCGTTGACAGATGGCAAACCGACATTCAGTGACGTCATGAGGCGGCAGGGTGAACCAAGTGTCCCCGACAATCGATTTCCCGCTCTAATCGGCTGTCAAACGGGAATTATCATATAGATTACCGGGCCGGCCGGCTGTTTCTGACGACACCCCGTCAGTTTATATTTGCAAGTCGCTTTCTCGAACTCACGAAGATTCTGTTAAATAATTGTATACATTTATGTGGCGGCAGGGAAGCTGACGCGGCGGACCCCGTGCCACGGGTGACCTGGTCGCCAACCCAAGCTGCCCTCACCGATAATGCGGCCCATTTATCGGTGTCTGCTCGGCAGCTCGGATACCGGAAGCTGCTCCTCAGCTGCGGAGAGCCGGCTCACTCACAACCTGATCCGATCGGGGTCATCGGCTCTTCGCTAATCAGCGCACGCCCATGTGGATGGCTAAACCGCTGCCCTCCACTACGGCGCAATGGATACATGAGCTTTTGATTTGATTTTGGCACTTTTCAGCGCAGTGCATTCCGTTGAGTCCAACAGATAAGGAGCTAACTTAGATTAAATTTGAATAAACATGACCTGTGTCGCATGAAAACTTAACTTCGATGTTCTAAAAACCTCGTAATGTCTTTAAACAGGCTACAAGCTTAATGCTAAGAATTTAGTCACCCACACAACATTCCCCAACTTCTACTGCAGACAGGTCGGTAAGTCCTCTCCGTGGCCGAGTGGATAAAAGCGCCGGAAATTCTGCCATACAACTGGAATTGCGCGATCGGGTGGTGGGGCCAGGGTCAGCACAACAAGCTTTGCTTAGTGCGGGCTCTGATTCCTCAAATCCGCCCATTCAGCCATTCGGACTAATGGTCGTCTGACGGCCGGGCGCCCTTCGGCTATCCTCTCCGCCCGGTGTCGTGCGGTACAGTATCTCTCTCGGCTGCAGGCGGCAACGGTAGCCTGCTCACCGGCTCCGCCCAGCGCCGGCGTGCGGCCGCCAATATCGCAAACGACTGGCCTGCGTGCAGTAAATAACGTTTTCTGTGGCTAATTGATAGCGTGTCCGGCTCCATTTCACGCTGGGAAGAAGGCAATATGTGGGCAGCGAGCGGGCAACTTCTCTCCGCATGAAGAGCACGCAGCGTGTGGCGTTTGCCAGCTGGTTAGCCGTTAGGTCTTGGTGAGGGACGTAAGCAAAATGTCGATGGATCTTATGAGCAAACTTGTCTTATGGTTGAGGCAGCGAAACCATCCATATGAAAGAAAGGTAACTGGTTGCCTGCACTAACCAACAGACTACTTCACAGTCAACATGCAGCTTTCTAGTTACCAGGTATTGTCTGAGGCCCTTGCACTAGCTATTGCGTCGTGCCCGGTGTCAGCCGTCTGTTTGCCCCGACATACCAGCCACCCGACCACGGCCGCATGCAAGGTCACGTAACTCGTCACTTTTCAATCGTCTGCAACCACTTCACGCTTAGAGAAAAAAGTGAAAATATATCGGTTGCGCTACGACCTCAACCAGACACAAAGTGCTGCTGCATATTTTATTGCCCAAAACAGAGGTGCAAAATACAATGCATGTTTGACGCTCCGTTCTACACCCTTGGCCACAAAGTTACGTAGTAACTTTGCTCGCTACTCTTACCAGAATGGGTCCCTAAACTTACAACCAACAAAACGATCGAAATCCCCCTCTGTAGAAACTAACACCCAACCCGACGAAAACAGTACCTTCTAACAACCGGTATCCGGCCGTAGGTCCACAGCCAAAAACCATTCACCGCACCATCGCCGAAAAACGTTAACAAAAGCGACTGCCAAACTAGCCAAAATACCCGAAACCATCGATATGTCGTCCAGGCGGACGGAAACATCGTGCAAACCTGACTTTTCGTGACGGAGGAAAGAACAAAGGACCTTAGCTGATACCGAAACAACCATTTTTACGGCTGAAACCACGAGTAAACTGCCAATCATTGGCACCATGCGAGACTGGATAAGGCAAACGGCACAGAACGCCATGAAAACTGACTAGAAATATCAAACGTTTTTGGCAAACGCAATAACAATACTTCGGAGAATACCTTTGTGACTCGCATGGTGGCAATTGTTGACAGATTAAAATGTGTTTTCCTGTGATAATCTCATCTCCAGATCACCCCGGTCTATGTGAACATATCAGACCACCAGCGTCAGATAGCTGGACTCTCATCCAAAGAACGATTCAACTGTTCGGCAAAGTTGGCAAGGTGCATTGCCATCTGCTTAAGGGACACTCAAACGGGACGCAAATACCGTAGATAAAGCTTACAAATGGCAAATTGCATTCAGCTGGTGGCGCTATGTAATAAGTATATAAATAGTCAGCCTGCAGGGATAAGCTGTGTCGCCCCCATGGGGGAATATAATGACGCTCCATTGGTCAGCCTGAGTTGAATTCAAATCTCATGGACGTGTGTTTAACAGTCCGGGTTCTAACTAGGCAGTCGGGGCCGCCAGTTAGCTCTCGGCCGGTTCACTTTCGGTAGATGTTTTCGTCTCGGTGCCGATCGCTTCCGAGTCCTCCTTGACTGTTTCAACTGTCTCCAGTGCTGGGGGTATCGACTTAACCTCGCTCGAGGAGCCATGGGTGACTGATTCAGTGCCCAGCTCGTCCTCACGTGCTAATACAGGCGGCCCACCCGCCTGTTTCCCCACCTCAGTAGCTTCATCACTGTCCTCTTGAACAACAGGAGATTCGCTGTCGTTTCGTTGTTGACCTTCTAATGACTGCTCTGTGCTTATCGTGTCTCCTCGTTCGCTGATCTTATGCAATACCTTGCCACCCTCTCCGTCCCGCGTGGCCGTCTCACCCCCTTCCACATAGTCAGCTGCATCTCCCTCTCTGGTCCCCTCGCTCGGCGTCTTCTCATTGTCTGTCCGAACCTCCTCTGGCGCAGTAGGCTTCTCTGGAGCCGCACCGTCCGTCGTCTCCTCTATCACCAGCTGCCTCTCTTTCTGTTCCGTCGCCGGCTTCGGAGAGACCACAGTGATCTCGTCCTCATCCGGCGCCGTCCCCGCCTTCACATCCTGGGCGCTCGGTTCGTCACCGGCGGCCGGCGGCGGGCCGTGCGCCACGGTGAGGTTGACCTCCGGCGGCTGGCCGGCCGGCGGCTGGACCATGTACACGTGCAGCACCTGGCCGTCGGGACGGTCCGGAGACGGTGACGCGATGATGAGCAGGTTCTGCGGGTTGACGCCGGGCGGCAGCTGCAGTACGCCCGACTGGCCGGCCGGCGGGTGCCACGGCACGGCGCCCTGTGGCACCTGCGCGCCCGGCGCCGCCACCGGTACCAGGGCCGTCGTGCCGTCACCCTCGGTCGTCCAGTCGAGCGTCAGGCCGGCCTCGGGAGGCGGCAGCGGCGCGCCCGCGACCGGCCGCGGCCGCCGCGGACGCATGTTCTCCCGGCCGCGGGCCTTCTGACGAGGCGCCTCCTTCTCCTCCGGCAGCGGCTTCTTGATGCTGTTCAGGATGCTGTTGGCCGAGTTGGCCGCTTTAGCTGTAACACAGAAACAACCCAGGTCAGTCACAACTCGCAGTACACGACTGTTCCTGTGCACAAACAGCGGGATAATGAGATACCTGAGTGGAGTCGTACGACTACGAACGGCGCTCCACAAGACACAACTCCCCTGTGCGTCCACAACGGTGGTCAACGTACCGGAGGGCTGAACTACGAACAAACACAGATCAGCAAGACGCGAAATTGACCGCACCGACCAAAAACATTGGGACGCAGGCAGTCAAAACAACGTGCAAAATGGACTTAACTATAGGACCTCGGGAACTGGTCCCGCGGACAAAAGTGCTGCAGTAAGTCCAAGTTATGTCACCTTTCTTTAACAACACACATTTTCAAAGGTTTAATCGGTAAAACTCAAAAGGGAAAAAGTAAAAGAGGAATTGTAAATAGCTACATTAGAAACACTCGAAAAACAACTATAAAGTTTTATCCAATATGCCTTTCCTTGCATATTGGATATCTGTGATCATTTTAACTCGGATATGACTATAATAAAACGTTTTCCTGACACCGCTCAACAGCAGGTTTCACTAGGAATAAACACGTTGCTGTTTAAAACATTGAGCCCACTCAATGGTAACGGATGGATGCCATTTAGCCCGGACATATGAGATCCTCGTCCTGTCCAGAGAAAGTCTGAAATAAGCATCAGTTGCCGTCCCGGCTAAGTCGCCCGCTTCTATCGCAGTTCGCCCACTGACCTTTGCCGGGCTTGGCGGGCGGCCGGCGAAGGGCAGCCTTTTCATTTTTCAGAGCCTTGGTGTCCTGCTCGCGCTGCTGGCGGCGCTGCTGTCTCTCCGCCTCCTTCTTCTCCTGCGCCTCTGTCTTACATTTTTCCACCGTCTTCTCCCAGACTGCGGCGTGAGAGAGGCAGTAAGGTCAGGCCAGGCCTCGTGACATTCACACACAATTCACTTACACCAAACAAGAAGACAAATAAGTAAATCAGTGACAAGAAGTTACAGATAATTAATATTGCTTGTCACAGGCCACATCAGCCCGGGGGCAGGTCATGTGAAGACAACACAGAAAGGTGGGGTCACGTCGCAATGAGCCATTGTCGTTCATGGCAGCGCAGCAGGTACAGACCCAGTCGAATGGACCATAAACTGCCCGACCAGACGTGATCGGCTTCCCCCCAGGATCGGCGGCCGGTCCGCGCACGATTCCTATCTCCTGGCCCACGCACCAGCTGCCGGCAGTCACCTAACTGATGACCAGGACCAGACCACACCAATCATTTCCCTCCATCAGCGGGTGTTTTCCGATAAACATCCAAGGCGACTGGACAACTGGCTAAGATCTGGCCGGCCAGTCCCCCAGCGCGGGCACGCCTGGTGCTGTCAGCAGTTTCCACCCAATCAATGTGCACGGTTCACCTCCGCCGGCGCTCGAACGGTGAACACTATCGTCTCGCAGAAAGAACAGGCCGGAGGCATAATTACCTTCATCACTCAGCTGGGGAGACCGGCGCCGGCACCCCGCAGCGCCGAACGCCGACGCACCGGGTGATTACGTGCGCAAAATCCTATCTGGTGCGACGCCATCACTCGCAGTTTGTTTAATTCGAAACGATGGCCTGATAAACAGCGGCGCACTAGTGAGATCCAGTGACAAAAAAAAACAAAAAAAACAGAGGCAGCGGGGAAACCGGCCGAAAGAAGCGGCGACGAAGGAACAATCGGCTGCAAAACAATTTCACTCCGAGGTGCCACTCTCCAATAAAGATGGCCATAGTTTCCGGCGCAGCTACTGGCTCCCACTCCGGGCTCCTTCCCGGCGGCCAATGCGTCCCCGAAGAGTGCTCGGGCGGAGAGATAGTGGCCAGCTTTACGGCTGGTGAGACTGCCGGCGGCACAGATCACTGCCTCGCACACTGACCGGCCGACTGCCGACGGACCAATGTCAGGCCATCGAGGGACCATTGAGGACCGCCACCGGACCAATGGAGACTGACCCCTGCGACGGTAATGAGAATCGCCCCAAAATGCACACCCACGAGCCAGCCAAAGCCTTGGCTGGGAGTGAACATCTCCCAAACAGGCTATTTTACGACTCGCCCGGCAGGACGCAGCGTCGTTCCGTGGCAAAATTTCGACGCGAATAGGTTTGTTTACCGGACCAAAGACGCTGCCCGTGCATTGTACGTGAACCAGGATAACGAGGAAGGGCGTACCTCCCGGCGTATTGAGCAGATATTCTAACTAGAGTCACCCAAGAGAGCTAGGCATTGATTACTCCCCGCAACAGACAGGGGAGACAAAATCGCACACAAATAGGACCTCTTGAAAGATAAAAGAATGGGAAACTACGGTTCTCTCGCGAATTTCAGTTCTCGGGAGCTTAAATCCGTTAAAATTCAGCAAGGAATGACTATGCTCGTTTCAGCTCGTTTTTTATTCATTGCCGAATTTCGCAGTCATTTTCCTGTTGAACTAGGTCAATGCGCTGGGTTTGGACCGGGGCTGGCGCCTGGCACCCGCTGTGTTCGGCCCATATGCAGACGTTATTGGGCACCTTTGGGCTAAGGTGACCCGTGACCTTCCCTGGCGCCGCTGCGCCCCACACGGCTCGGGCCATTATTGGTCGACACTGCCCAGACCAGCCCCGCCAGCGCCGGAGCGGCCCAGCACCGGAGCGGCCACGGCAGCCCGCAGAGGAGAATGCAGGCCGGCTGCTAAATACTGAATACCGTCCGGCGGAGTGGAGCAGACGGCGGGGAGCACGGGCCGGTACCGTGTCCAAGTCAATTCTAATAACACAGACACCGACACGGATTGAATGAGCTACTTTGGAGCGGGAGGAACATGGGGCGCGGCAATGATCGAGGGAAAACACAGAGTGTAGGTGTACTTACTCTACATAAATGCATACAAATACACTAGCATTAATAGAAATATCCTGGTCCAAACACAAACCATCGATTGCCTTAGGCTTGAGGATCTCCCAACCGTCGCCAACCGCCGCCAATTGACTGACCCAGGCGTCCGCCGTCAGCAGCGCTCCGCTCTGAAGTTGCTGTCCCGGCCGGCCATCGGGCGCGTTCGGCATTCTGCTGCGCAGCGCGCTCAAGGGCCGCCACCTGACTATCAGCGAATGCCCGACGCAGCATTGTGGACCGAGCGGCGCCCACCCAGGGCCCGCCGCCTGTCGCGCCCGGCTGCGACTGACGTGCCTCCAGATGAGTTTATCGTGCCGGTCCGAGACCGAATACCTAACCCGGCGCGACGCAGTTCCTCCAAACAGCGCGCAGATTCGAATGTTTCAGCTCGGTTTCGACTGCCACTGAAGTACCGCAGCTTAGCTCGATTGTAGTTGTGAGCTTCAGATGCAATCAACTGAAGCCGGTGGACACTCGAATCACAAGCCTAATGAATTAATTAACATCTCACTCCAACTCGCACCGCTCCATACAGTCGCGTTGATTACCATCCAGCCTCTCTGTGTCGCTGTCGAGGTTTCAGCTCTAGGCTGTAAACATAACGAACGGCGGGTGTGGCGGCGGTCGGTCGGCCCCGGCCCGGTCGCCAGGTGCCGGACCGGTGGCTGCGGAACAGCCCAGGGGGTCCTTTACCGTCCCGATGTATTGGCAATAGTGCCGCGGGGAGGGCCGGTTAGTGCTGGTCCGACGCCGCAGGGGGTCAGAGCGGCCACCGAGCAACAGGGAGGCACCAGCCCACCCAGTCAGGGTGGAGTCTCGAACTAAGAGGGAATCAAGCGGCGGATCACGAGATATGAGAAACTTCATCACATCATAGTCACTATCCGACAGTGAGCTCACAGTCCATAATAACGGTATGTTACGCACAATCCACACGCGGCGCAGCAGACGCAGGCAGCAGCTGTGGATCACGGGCGCAACCACGTCCCGAACATTCCGACCCTCGCAGGTTGCGAGCTTCGCGGGCGCATAGGCTCTTAACTATGACAAGTATCCAAGCTATATGAAAATTAAGCTGCCGAGCCGGGCTTCCAACGGTCATCTCACTTCAGCGGCCTTTAGGGTTGGCCAGAGGCACTGCCTGATCCCGACCAGGGGCGTAGCGCCAAAATCTGACGCGGGGCGGAGAGGTCTGTTCAATAACAGGCGAACGAGAGGCATTGTAACAGACAGCGCAATTATTTGAGTGAAAAACGGCGGACGAATGACTGTGCCCGACAGCGGAGAGCATTCTCCGGAATACTTTGATAAGAAGTTGAGCTTTGTTATTAAATATCTTGTCCCTCACGCTCTGAAACTGAGCGCGACTTCAAAGGGATCCTCGATATTGAGAAACTTTTCCAAAGAAAGGCCAGGATAGACAGCATATCGAGTGTAAAATAAATCTGCTGAATGAAACTCGTATTTGCATAAGCTATTTGAAAGCACGTCAAGCGTTACTTCGACGATTTTCACTTCGATAATGAGATTTTATTTTGCTGACGTCCAAACATACGCCACCGAAACATCTGACCCTGTGTGATGTTTAGGTCGATATTAATGCTGTGTATGATGACTTTTGAGGCTCGTAGGTTAAAAGCCATCGTCATAGGTTGTAATTGGTGAAATAAGTGACTGTAACTCTCCCCCGGCGCCACTCACCGTCACCGTCGAAGATGGTGAGGTCGTACTGCATGTTGTCCGTCATGGCGCGCTCCACCAGGTGCGGGTTCTTGCGCTCCTCCTTCTTGAACTTCTTCTTGAGATCGACACGCGTCCGCTGCGGGAACAGCTGCTGCATGATAGAGAAGTCGGTGCCCACCGTACTCAGCGCCTTGTAGAAGCGGGCCGTCTCTGGAAAAATGACAAAACGAGAGTCACTCTAGATGTCCGCTGATAGACGTGCTTTAACCATAGCCAACATAAATACAGTCTCGTGGTGCAAAAACAAGGAAGAAACCAGCAATCTGATTCGTTTTGGGGTTAAGTATCCGGAGTGCGTTGGTCATCAAAACCAGAAAAGACAGGTCGCAACTACAGGTGAGACGCTGGGAATTCACGGCTCACCCTGCACTCAAGTTGACCCAGAGATGCAAGATTTGAGAAGCCCGAGAACAATAAAGGGCGAGGCACCGTTCAGGTATCAAAAGGCCATCCAGGCGGAGAGACCGACTTTCCAACGAGGTCCAGCTGCCGAAATAGAGTCCAACTCTGCGCCATTCGCAGCTCGACAGTCGTCAGACATTGTTTGGTCAACAGGATCAGCATTTCAAACGAGGCCCCACACAACTTAGAGACACGTTCTCCGAAACGGACTCAGCCGCGAGTGGCCGAGATGGCGAGGAGATGAGCGATAGCGATATCTCGGTCAACTTTTATGCTGATATGGGTAGTCCATCAATTGAGTGGGCGGTCTAGTTCCGCGCAGTGAATGCCCCAATGTATTCATTGGTTTGCCTCCTAGGATGCCCATGTCTAGCACGGAGATTCGAAGGCGAACATGACGATCCATGTAATTAATTCAATGCAAAAAGTATAGTTAGTAAACATGCAATTAAGGACGACTCAGTAATGCATTTCACTCATTAGGTACGCAAAAGGCATGTCGTCAAGCCACCCGAACGTCAAATACCTTTTACCATAACTATATCAAAGGTTTTAACTACACCAAGTCTGACGGTCGAACGAATTGCACAAAGGACTATCAAAGCGGCCGAATTCCATCACCACGCACAAAACTCGTCTGAGCTCAGCGGCGCCGATCACAAAGGCGGCGTAATGCCACACCCCAGCAGGGAGCGGCTTCCAGCACCGAGTGATTACCGAATCCATTCTGGCTCCGTGTCTGCGAGTCGAAAAATACGCCAACGGCGAGTCCGAGCTCGAAACGGTAGCGGCTCTCCACCGGGGCCCAGCCGGCCGCCTCACAAGTTATCGATGTCAGCGGTAATGGTGCTGGTAGAAGAGAGAACTGGGCACCTTTCTAAGAGTGGACAAAACATTTTCAGACCGTAAAGAGCAATCAGCAGGTGCGGAGGAGAGAAGTACGCGTACCTTTCAGTTCATTCGTAACAATAAGTAGAACATAGCTGCTGTGCGGTGACCACTGTGGAGAAATAATTAATCCTATATCAACGTAGCGTACCGTGTTATGGCAGTAAGGCACAGGCCAGTGCCTTCAAAGTTCAAATGTCACCAAGTAACGTTTATTCGATTTGCAGTGAATTACCGGTCTACGCACAGTACCCAGCTCGCAAACACATTCTCCCTGTATTCACGTCCACACTGTCCGGCTAACTACAGAGCAGGAACCACGGGGGTGTCAATCATCCAACACAGCTACACTGCACTACCGCTCTTCGAAACCAAAACAAAGACGAACAGAGGAGCCATCACTCGACTGCTACTAGCTGCAAACCATAACCACGAGGGCTTTTTGCGAAGAGCGAATAGGCAGCTCATGACAAATAACACAGTATCTGTGGAGGGGACGCTACTGGATCAATCCAGCTGCATAGACACTTCAGTCGATCGACTACTACATCCAGTCCAGTGTTGGTACCTCCACTCTCAAGTACCCCGACCGCCCCGTCCTGTCCAGTACCGTCAAGTGCGGCCGGCCAGCGCACTCACCGCGCACTGATAACATTGATTATCCCCACCCGAACCGAGCAGACAGGCCGCGAAACAAAGTTTGCGCCTCATCAATCACAGTCTGAGCGTCTCCGAGAGACTGAGCTGAGAGGTTAGGCGAGATAACCGGTCGGGGGATCGGTTAAGTCCACTTTTAGGTATACTACCCTGACCAGTGACCAGAGGTCACCTCTGGGTCACTGGTCAGGTTCATGTCAGGTAAGGTTCACGGACAGTGGGTGTCCACTGCCCGTGAAACCTCTCTGCTCTACGCGAGCGTCCTCCCGATATTCACCAGTTAATGTACGTGAGCCCCTTCTGCCTCAGAAGAGGATCCTCTGAACACCCATATCCCCAGTCCTTATCAGAGGTCAAAAGTGCAGTAGATGTCACCGCCTAGTGTTTACTCAGTACCCACACCCACCCACACAAGTCACGCCACCTTTTCCCCATCAACACAGAAGTGACTGAAGTATTGATATACCTACCCTGGAAAGCCAATGTGATGCTCCTACAATGAGCAGCCCGAGTGAAGTGTAGCATCCTGTTGCGCAATTTCACCGCGATGCCGAGTGCCTTGGGGCACCACGCAACAACGAGAGGCATGTCCTCCGGTGTTTTATGCGACTGGGTGGAGCCTATTCTTTCGACTTGTTTAATCAGCAAGCTTCACAAAACAGATTATGTAATATGCAATTGTTTGCGCCATTCTCTCTGTTGGCATTTGCCTAATGCAAATCTCCATAGTTGCATAAAAATTGAAGAGTACGTGGCTTCGACCATTCTCACGAAATCAACTAAAATATAGGCAAAAAAAATAGTATTCAGTTGTAGGTCGTGCTCATTTTGAGGCAGCATCCAAACGCCTTTCAGTCATGTGCAGGCCAGCTATAAATCACGCAAGTTATCTTCAACTCACGAGCTAATTTGTAGCAATCATGCTTCAACAGACTTTGGAACATTTTGCAACAACACTTGAAGCAGCTCTAACTGCACGTGACGGTAGCGAGAGTTGCCTCTCTGTGATAACGCGCCGGTCACCACGGCTCGGCTCTGTGCCCCGGGCCGGTCAGAGTCGACTGCCACATACTGCTACCCGTAATGAGGCCGCATTTTCAGTCGGGCCGCCTGAGAGAGCGAGTCATCCCCCGGCCATCAAACGGCACGCCTCGGGCTGCTTACAGGGCCGCTTTATTAACTCTTCAGAGAAGTGGCTAACTCTTCATCTCAGTCGCAAATGGAATAACTGTTGTGATAACATACAAGCCACAAACGTACGCAAAACGATTCGTTGGAATTGTTGAGCCGTACAACCGTAAACATGCAGCCTATCACTGCAGCTTACTTGACATGGAAATAGGTTGCTTCTAGTTCAAGGCCAATGGATTGAAAGCATGATCATCAAGGAAGCTCACGCTGTCCACCCACGCTGTGTCACGATCGCCTGGAGACAGGCCGATGACGCCGCAGCTCTTCCACCTTCAGGAACTTTGTCATTGTGTGATCTAGGCCTGATCTAGGCCAATGCCAATGCCATGCATGGTAAGGACGCTGCAGCTTCCGACTTTGACAATTCGCATCAGAACGACGCACCTCTCCCAGTAAACACTGTTACCCGCACATTACAATCCACAATTTCAGACTCGATTATCTCCCAACCACAATCCACCCACCCTCACTACCAGTTCCATCGCCTCGTTAAGTTCGAGAGCTCTATCAGCTCGGCCGGGCGCCGCCGGCGTCCACTAACCTTTGATGCTCCATTCGTCGATCTTTCTCCGCTGCCGGTAGCCGTTAAAGGAGAGCCGAGAGCCGGTGATGTCATTCACCAGTTCCGTGGACATCTCCTGGTCCCGCTGCTTCTGCTGGGTAGTCTGAACCACCTGGGAAGGGGACGGGTCAGAGGTCAGGTATGGGCCAGATGTCAGGTATGGGTCAGAGGTCAAGTATGGGTCAGAGGTCAGGTACGGGTCAGAGGTCAGGTATGGGTCAGAGGTCAGGTACGGATCAGAGGTCAGGTACGGATCAGAGGTCAGGTACGGGTCAGAGGTCAGGTATGGGTCAGAGGTCAAATCAGAGGTCAGGCTGGCTGGAGGGAGCATTTAGAAAGAAAAGAGGTGGTAGCTCGAAACATAATCGACAGAATTAGACAAAGATCACAGTACATCAAGGCATCGGAAACGAGCTAAAGATGGCTAGCTGAAGTGCAGCGGTAAGAATACCTACTTATGTCTTCAGTTGCTACATTGTAAACGGTAAACAGTTCGACTTTTGCCTCAGAACTTTCAACTCCCTGCCTGCCTCAGGCAGGGAGTTCCTCTCCCCTAACTCACCCCTCAAACAAACACACTACCGCCCGCACTCACCAGCGACTTTTCGTCGATGACAATATTGCCGTCTGGGCCGACTTTGAGCTGCGGCACGGGCATGGCATCCTCCTCCTCCTCCGGCTCCGGCTCCGGCTCCGGCTGGGGCTCCGGCTCCGGCGCCGGGATCTCCGGCGGCTCCGGCGGGGCGGCGGGCTCGTCCACCGTCTCCTCAGCGACATCGGTGCGGCAGGAGACCGAGCTGCTCGTGCTGGGATGATGGAGAAGGAGAGTCAGAGGCGCGAGAGGTGACAAATACGCCGTCAGGCATCGGTGCGGCAGGAGACCGAGCTGCTCGTGCTGGGATGGTAAAGAAGGAGAGTCAGAGACGTGTGAGGTGACAAATACGCCGCCAGCCATCGGTGCGGCAGGAGACCGAGCTGCTAGTGCTGAGACGGCGGGGACGGAGAGTCAGAGACGCGAGAGGTGACAAATACGCCACCAGCCATCGGTGTGGGTGAGGGGAACAGAAAGTCGCGAGAAAAGTTGGTCAAAGGGACCCTGCAGCTGTCGAGAGGCGGTCTTTGTCGCTCAACTCAACAGCTATCAGAAAATCTCGCCAGAAATATCTATGAAGTTCGGGGATTCAAGTTTCGATTAAGGCTTCAGGACTCTAATAGACGAAATGGTTCTAAATGTATGATACAGGACGTCTTTGACAGCTACGGCAACAGCCAGTGCTGAACGGGCACGCGCAAATATGAGGCCAACGACAAAAGAAATCGCGTAACTTAACTACGGTGGATCAACGCACTCTAACACTCCTGTCCGACATGAATATAGTTCACGCATGTCGCATAGGTCATGTTGAACATATTAAACAAAACGTCTTTGACCGTCACCCAAGAGTCAGGACCCTAATCCCCTAGTTCACCGGTCGTACCTGTCCCGCCGCTTCCGCCGCCGGCCGGCCGGTTTCTTGCTGTTGGACATAGCCTCCGTGGAGGGGTTCCACACGATCAGGTCCTGCATGCGCATCTTGGAGCGGATCGGCATGTTGTCACTGACACGCTCCGATATCTGGTCTAGCAGCTCGCGAGTGTTGTTCTTGGTTCTGTCGGGAGAGAGTGGGAGGGGGAGAGTCAGGCTTAGTCCTCACGAGGGCGGGAGGGAAGGTCGAGGTGAGGGACAACAGTCGGCAAACGAGACACCGGATCACGCATCCGTCCCATCCAACATACAAATAATTAACCCAACACGTAGAAAAGACAGCGCCATTTCGACAAACTGCACACAACCAAAAAATCATTCAAACATCGGATGACACATAACTACTGCACATAAGAAATCAACAAATACACAACGCAATTACACGGATAACGGTGTATTACAAAGGCGATCTGCCAAGCGAGGCCCCATCTGGAAGACGAGCGGACAACGGACAAAGACACTTCAGACAACACTCGTAACAATCGCCAAGTGCGAATAATCTCATCTCGAGCGGCAGCAACATGTTCAAAGGACATCGCTCGAAACCTATCAGAGGAAGATATTAACAGATGACAGTCATCAAATGGCAGGCTCTCAGAAAGATGTAAGACAAGAGGGAGTTCGTAACTGATTGCCACATTGGTAGCAAATCAACATTAGAAATTCGGCTTCGCGAAACCACATACAGGGGTGGACAAATGTGCCGAGTTGGGGTAGCACGGGCGCGGCAAATCCGCCGCCGCCCTAGCGGTGACTTTGACCTCCGCCGTCTGTTGCGGCTCCAAAGCCAAGCCGGCGTGGAATTAGGAAAGCTCGTGCTACCCCAACTCAGTACAAATATCCACCCCTGACCACATACCAAGAATTGTAAATACATTATAAATTTAACGCTTAACTCTTGTTCACACTTTATATACCCATGAAGGTATAAGACAGATGTCAAGTTAGCAATTTTTCTTCATTTTAGTTAAACCAGCCGGTCTGCAATGCGCAATGTGCATCCCTATATCGAACACCGCTGTGTTGATCCGCGTCATAGAGACGCTCTCCAGTCAGCGCCGCGTCAAATCAGATCGAGTCATAGACGCTCTCGAGTGTTTCGGCGCCTCTTCTGACCGCCACTACACGCGCGCGGAGTGGAGGCCGAGTGTGTCGCGATGAACCTGCGCCGCGGCGCTAGTCAGCGCGCACTGGACTGGATCGGATACACCACTCGGGACAGGCTGATACTCAGGAGTGACGTCATTACTGGCTAACGACCGCACTAACGTTAACAGACTGTGTCCTGATTACGAGTAGAATGACAGTGCTTCAACGTCAGGGTAGATCATTCGAAGTCAGTGGATCTTGCGTAATACCTTGCATGGCAACATTGGTGATGAATGTCTTTGTGGTGAAGGAACTCGCCCTAAATGAAACTTTTTAGCAGTCCTAATCCTTCTGGCTGACTTGGGGAAACCCTGATAATTCCATACGACCTTGAATATGCAAATTAACTCACGAACCTATTCATCGAACTTCGGCTTTAAGAAAGTGTCACCGCCCCAACAGGTTCCATTCAAATTTCCATCGTACCCACCCAGTCATTCAGCTACCGGCGATTGGTTAAGCTCCCGCAATCTCGTGATCGAAAAAGCCCATCCCACGCCACGACGATCCCCGACATCTCCTTCGCGTGCGCTGCTCACTTAGGCGTGTTGAAGCGTTTCCTTAGGAAGAGGTCGGTTTCGGAGAGCAGCGGCGGCGGCGGGCTGCCGGCCGTCTCTGACTCTCCGTCTCCATCTCCTTCTCTGTCTCCGTCTCCGCCGGCGGAGACCGGCGGTGTCGGCTCCGACATTTCCTGATCTGCGCTCTCCTCGGTCTTCAGGGGCCGCCGCCCGGACCGCCTCCCCTTCCGCCGCGGCTCCGGCTCGTCCGGATCATCCGGATCGTCCGGCTCCGGCTCCGGCTCCGGCAGCCGCGCAGAGTCGAGTCGCGGCCGTTTGACCGGCGCTGGAACCACGGCGGCTTCTCCCGTCGGAGCTGCCGACGGTTTTGGCGTAGCGCTGCGTGGGCACAGAGACAGAATGTCAGTGGGGGCAGACAGCGAACCACGCCGCAGCAGAGCATATTATTTAGGACTTCGAACGGGCATCAAGACTGAGAGTCGAGAGAGCAAGCAAGGTTGATTTTTCAACGAGAAGCACAAAAGTAGGAGGTGTTCCAGCTTAGAAAGCTAGCATAAATGCTAAATAATGAGCCTTTAAGCCTATTCAGAACATCGTATTGAACGCACCTGACAGGGCTGGAGGCAGGCGGAGCGCACGCTTTAGGTGTTGTCTCGTCAGCAGCAGGGGCGGTGGCGCCGGCCGCCGCCGCGTTAGCGCCGTCTGGCGGTGCGCTGGTGCTGCCCTCTGTCCGGGCTGGCTCGGCAGCGACCGGCGCAGTGACAGAGCGGCTCACGTCGAGCCGAGGAGCGAGCCGTTTGAAGCGGGCCGGCAGATGGGGACGCGGTTTGCTGGGGCGCGCAGCGGTGGCGGCGGAAGGTGGAACAGCATCTTGGGCGGCAGCGGCATCCGCCGGGGCGGGAGAAGCGGCATCCGCCGGCGCGGGGGAAGCGGCAGGGGTAGGATCAGGAGCGGCGGATGGGGCGACTGAAGGCACAGGTGCGGGGGAGGAAGGATCAGGAACGGACGCAGGATCAGGGCCGGGTGTAGGTACTGAATCAGGGGCGGAGGTAGGACCTGGAGCAGGGGCGGGGGCGGGAGCAGGGGCGGGGGCGGGGCCGGCCTTTCCGGGCTCCGGTTTGACAGCGCTCGGCCGCGCTACCACATTCGGCTGCAGCCGGAGCCGGGGACGCCGGAACGCCATCTGAAACCAGAGGCGGCCGGTGCTGATTAGACAACGACCACCGGCAGACGCGTGCATAGCTGATAGTAGCACGCCTGAAACGGGAGTGACCACTCCAATAGCGGCGGAGGGTAGATACGATCATACGGAGCATCACGATAAACATAACCCGACAACTCTGAATCACAGATGTCAAAACTAGGTAGCCTTGACCAGCCAGAACCTTGCTACATAACACTGACCCTTGTTTGTGCACATTCTGTACATGATGGATGTACCGGTGTATTGTGAATCGGTGCACGATTAAAGATGAAGCACTGACCTCTGCAGCAGGTAAATTGACATCAGATAATCACGGAAATACGCTGTCGTGTATGTCATTGCCAATGATCCAGCGTTAAATAAGTTTGATTGACAAAACGCATGCACGAATTATGTGAATCATCAGCTGGCCAGTTCAATCGCCAAGTTTGCTTGCTGATTAATGATTATCGTGGGGGTAACACAAGGGGAACCGCCGCATTCTGATAAGAAGCAAGCTTCATCAATATATGTGAAGTCCCTTTCATGATGACACATAACTAGGTATCAGCCCAATCAAAATATGGAGTGCATACCAAGAAGATCCCATTTTGATCTTCGTATTTTCTTTTAAAGACCTCAGTTCAGGCAGCTCAAAGTATATTTTATAATTACGTAGTTATTATGGAAGACATACAAGCAAGGTAGTACAAAACAATATCAATACAAACGTGCGACATAAATGAAAACATCACATCACAACGCCTACACAGAGTGGCACAAAACACGGAATCTGACAATGTCTATGCATTATGCAAACGAAACTAGCAAGTTCCAGGTCAAAAATCAATCGTCGGCATAACCCTCGCGACCAAAGATCTCTCGTTGCTCTCGCATGTAGCTGTGAAAGACAAGTGCGTGCAATCTGCGAGGAGTGGATCAAATTCAAGGCACATTGAGCGAAACTTTTATCTTGGTAAGCTGGTGCGGCTCAGAGAATCATTCACCGAGCTCACAGAATCACTCATCGAGCTCACAGACTCATCGAGCTCACAAACCCACTAGCCGAGCTCACAAAACCCACACACCAAGCTTACAGACCCACTCATCGAGCTCATCACTCACCGAGTTCACAGAATCACTCATCCCCTCCTCCGCGCTTCTGCAGCTCCCACGAGCGGAAGCGGCGCGCGCCCAGCGCCAGCTCCGAATCAAGCTCTTCCGGCGGCCTGCGCTCGTCACTGAGCGCCGCCACGGCGAACAGTACCGCCTCCGGCGCCATCACCTCCTCCGCGTAGATGCCGGGGCATTCAGGCCGCCGCCGGCGCAGTCCTTCGACCACGCGCAGCGCGCGGCGCCGGGCCCGCTCGGCCATCTCGCCGAATGCCTCCAGGTCTCCCAGGCAGGAGGAGGCGATCAGCTGGCGACGGGCGCCGCTCCGGTACGCGTCCCGTCGCCAGGAGGGCGCGCGGCCGGCGTGCACTGCCCGCAGGTGGCGGTCGCACTTATCGCTCTCGACAACCTCCAGCAGGCGCGCGGCGTACGCTCGCTGCTCCTCGAGCAGATGAGGCGGCAGCGGCGCGGGCGGAGGCTGTGGAGGTGGTGGCGAGGGCGACACCACGGAGATCTCTTCGTCAGAGCCGGAATCGGCGTCGGTGCCGGTGGGCGAATTCCGTGTTTTGTGTTTGAGCGGAGAGAACTGGAGCGCACTGACAGCAGCCGCCGCCGGGCTCGGAACCTGCGCCTTCTGCGGCGACATCGAGTTCCCGCGGAGCCGCACAATGTAATCACACCTCGTCTTGAGGAATTCCTCGGGGTCGTCCACCTCGCCGCTGGCACGGCTGGCCTCCAGCTCCTCCACTGCCTCCAGCGAGAGGCGGAGCGTCTCCGCGACGACCGGGTCGGCGCTATTAGCGGCGGACTCGCAGCGCACCTTCTCCTCATACGTGAAGGGGCGACAGGACTTGCGCCGCATGCCGATAGGGAACGCCTTTTTGAATTTCACTAGATCGTAAATGAACTTCACCGTCGCCTTCCTCCTCTCCAGCCGTGTCAAGAGCGCGGGGTACTCCACGCCGCGGTATCTGGCGACCACCACGTCCCCGACACGCAGGGTGCCAGCACTGCCGGCCAGCGCCAGCGCCGACTCGTCCTCGCTGTCGTCCGTCGAGTCGAGCTGTCGAGAGTCGTCCGGCTCTTCAGACGGCGCCAGGGACGCCGCCGACAGCCCGTTCACGGGCTCGGCCGCCGGGCTCACGGCGCCGCCCCCAGAGAGGACGGCCGAGTCACCGTTCGCCTCGGCTGGCAGAGGCGGCAGCACGGGGTAGGGAAGCTCCGGACTCGTCTGGCGCGCCGCCGGCGCCGCCGCCCGCCGCCGCCGCGACAGCTTGGCCCGCGCGGCGCGCTTCGGTGACATCCTGCGAACGACCGAAACAGCGACTGACGGCTGTGCTGAGACCCGCTCGCGCGGCGGCAGCGGCGCTGGCAGCTGTGGCGTCACGGCTCGGTCGCAGCCCGCAGGAGGTCCAGCTGACGTACCCGGCGCACTCGCGGTATCAGACGCCGCGCACACAGTATCAGCGCGCAGATGTCGGCAACTAAGCCAGATATAAGAGGCGCTGATAACTTTATCTTGGTGGTGGCATAAGCCTCAACAACTTTTAAAGCCTTTGATAATCTGATACCCACATAAGCCTCAAAACAGTGACAGCAAAAAAAATGCATTGTTGGCGTGAATGTAGCATAACACGAGCGTACACCAAATATCACAATAGGAAGCCTTCAGTAATATAAAGTAACTTATAAGGATTATAAAATTTGAAACTTAGGCCAACGAATTGATAGTTGTTGTTGATCCAATGTTTTGGTGCCCCCAATCATCCAGAGCCTGTTGTGCCTTTTCAAAATTTTAATGGCGTTAAATAGCCCCATCGGGGAACTACCATGTGACCAAATTTTATTGACCAGGGCTGCGTTTCAAGGCAGAGCGCTGCAGTGCGCTGCGCGCGTCGGTGCGTTGGGTTTCCATAGCAATATCAACAAACTTCACTCTGACGCTAAGCTATGACGTCAAACAAATGCTAGCGCACCGCGCCGCCAGCGCCGCATGGATCGTAAGCAACGTCATTCGAGTGACGTCAGGGGTATGCCTTAGCTCCCAGCGCAGCGTCCGCGTCGGGCGGTGAAACAGAGCCCTGGGCGCAACCGATGACGTCACAGGTCAGGTCAAAGACTGCAGACTGCAAAACAGTGCATTGTTGACAAGTTTTGTTGACACTGAGACACTCAGCTAGTGTGCAGTGCCGGTGCCAACAAACCACGACACGGTGAAAATTTAGACATGGTGAAAATTTAGAAGAAAGGAGTGTTGCTTGTCCTAAAAGGGCACTGCACTGACAGCTGAGCCACCCTGCTGGTGAAAAGCCAGTGGTGTTGTTCAAGATTAAAACATGTCTGTGTCTGTATGTCTGTTCTGCAAGTTTCTATGATTTTTTGAACATATGTGGTTTTCAGTCAAAAACAGAAATGATTTGACTTAAATCTCATTACCTGTCTCAACTTTTTTTTGAACAATTAGTCAAACTTCATCACAATAAACTTCCCGAAAATTCCGCAAGACTTCTAACAAAAGCAGGGCAAAAAGTGGGGCATATAAATGCTACCCCAGCAACCTGTGGCATATCATGCAGGGCACCTATTTGTCAAGATGAGGTCTACGCAGAGCATGGGGTCCAGCATGATGATGATCAAATGAGGTCCATGCATGCATGCAGAATTGCAGAGCCATGATGATATGATGACCAGGGAAATATTAACACCTCATTGCAGTTTTTCTACTCGATAAGACTATGATTTCATTACAAAACTCACAGGCATTGTTCAGTGCAGACTGGTTCAAATTTCCACATGGTGTCTCAGTTGGGGAAACTATGAGGCGAAGATCGAAAAATTGATGTCAATAAATACACTTTTTATGACCATATATGGGCATAAATGTAGCCCTCCCTGCTACGGGTGAAAAGCAGTATAATCTGCCGGTAGGTACTTGCAGTATAGCATCCACCTATTGGAGAGAAAAGGCTTCCATTTTCCACTAGCGATTAACGCTAGTTGATAAAATTCGGTGAATTCACTCGAAAATGGCGATCGGAAAACAGCTTTCCTGCAGATTCCGTTCTGGGCGTCACAATCAGCTAGCCATTCCATAAATGGATCGAAGATATTTAATTTCATAATCATAATTTAACCATAATTTGAAAAACCATAAACAAAATTATAGAAATAATGACATTTTAAAACCATGGTGCTGCTTACAATTTTTTGGTGTGTCTGTTTCAATCTGCCATCTTTGCCAATCCCTGACTGACCTTGTATTGCAACTCAGCAATTTAGAACCGCCAGGTGATCGTGCACTGAGTGAGTGAAGGCCTTGTGTGGTTGTTATGATGTCTTGTCGGTGCTAGCGCATGTATCGCTTAGCATGCTGGCTGTAAATGCTTGTTCTGTGTGTTGCATGTGCTTGCCGTTGGTTGGCCCTCTTGTTGCATGAGCTGTCGCCTGACAGTGCATGTATTTTCCTTTCAGTGTGTCTATCATTTCTTCACTTCTACAGAGGGGTGTTCACGGGCACAGTACACTGCTGCGTGCGGTGTGTGCGGTGCATCCAGTAGGCGTGGGGGTAGGGGATGGGTAGGCGGCTCTGACATCACGGCTGCGTGCGGTGGACGGTCTGCTGTGGCCAGTCCCGACCGGCCACAGCGGTCGCTGTGTGCGGTGACGGAAGGCTGACGTAGGGACGCAGTTGGCAGTGGGCGGAGCTTGGAGGCTGTGTGCGGTCCGACCGCACACAGGGCCCGTGAACAGCCCTCAGAATAAACTCAAGCTGAGCCAAGTGCTGCTTGGTTAAATGCTCTGAAAGCTTTCCAACATGGTTAAAACATTTGTATGCCTATTTTTTTCATTTCAATGCTAGGATGTATTCTCACCTGGATGGAAAAGGAAGTTTTCTGATTTTATTACCATACATGGTCATCGCCCGTCCACTCCCGCCGCTGATTGGCTGATCAAAATTTTGTTTGGCGCCTTGTAGTTTCCCCAACTGATGTATGGACTTGTCGCCCTGACCGGAGCGGACTACAATGTCAGTTCCCATGCTTTGCAGGCTGGGTCAACCCAGCCTAAAAATTCAATGAGATCTTGTCTTAAATCAGTAAAGGGTGCAAGACTTTGCTAGAGCATGATGCAATGTAAAACCGAGAAGCCTGGCTTCCAACACAATGACACATTAACATAAGGCACTCTATTTTTACATTACCTTCAAGTTGAAGTGTTCCGGCCTGGAATTGCAGGGAACGACAACGAAGCAAGTTGAAATGCAACGCAATATTGATATATACTATTTCAACACAAACTGAAACATTGGCTCGAAATTAGAAATGAAAATAAAAAAGTCACATGGCAATGGCATCGAAGACTTCCATCTCCCCTTGCATCTTCCCTTCTTCAACGAAAAACACATGCGCGATGCGCGTCGCCACGGTATGGGCCTGTTCCAGCGCCTCCAGTAGAAATTCTTGACTGGAGGCTCTACCAGAGGTTTTACTGGAGTCGCTGGAACGCAATCTGGAGATTTCTGGAGATTGGCGTCACAGATACCAAAAGAATGACGATTGGTCTCTCTTCAAACACAAAATTTGTTTTCAATTTTAAAAAGAAAGATTAACAAGATTATAGCAATGTAATTTTCTTTACAATCAAATTGTAAAATTATCAGTCAAAAGTCCTTTGTTTACATTCGTGGTTGTCACATGTGCGCCATAGTTGTAGACCAGAGCCTCCAGAGAAATTTGGACCTCCCAACTCTCTGGAGGCTACTGGAGGTTTCTGGAGCTTTGGGGAGAGCTTTCTGGAGCTTTCTGGAGGCGCTGGAACGCTCTCTGGAGGATTCTAGAGCTTTCTGGAGGTTTCTGGAGGTTTCTGGAGGCGCTGGAACAGGCCCTTAGAGAACTGCGCGTCGCGTTTCCCAACGTCGCGTCGTCGGCGTCGTTCAGTGACGGAAGCGACACTAGGTCGCAACCTCTAAATTCTTACAGTTGTGATGTTCGCTTATGAAAATCAGAAAATTTACTAACACCACTCACAAACTTTGTTCTTTTTAATAAGGTATAAAAAATCAGATTCATTAGATATATTTTATAATTTTTTTTTCAGCAAATGCAGCCCTACATCTTCAGTTCAAATGTATGGAATAAATCCAACAAGCTCCGACTTCTTTTCTCGGAACGGTAGCATTTGCATTTTGCTAGTCTAACAACTGGATCAGTTACACAAGTGGGCTTGTAAATGAAATATCGAATCGTAGAAAGAAGTATTCATGGTTGCATCTCATTCATTCTGCTATAACTTTTTAAAACTGGTAAGGCCGACAAGACTGTGTTATGATCTAGCTCGCGTCGTAGCTCCTACTACAAAACACTTTTACCCATAATGCAGTGGAGAGCCGACGGTGTTGAGCGTGAAGTTCAGTATGGCGATCGGTGCTCGTTCATTGTGTTGGTTAAAATTCGTTTGGTTTGTTTAGATAACATATGGCTTCGCTCAAACCACAGACGTTTTCGAAAAGTAAACAGTGCATCAAGGATTGGATTTTGACAGCAATTGACCAGCTAAAATTGCGCAAGGCCCGGCCAGACAGGTACCGGATTGCCTATGTTCTCAACAAGCAATTTGGTGTGGATATTGATGCCGTGAATGAAGTACTGGAGCAGATGACAGATGAGCATTCTATTGTTCGAGTTGACTACAAGGGATCAGTGAGCTACCGAGATATCAAAAATTGGCTCCGCATAAGCAAAGACATCGAAGTAATATCCATCTACGCTGGTGCTCTCGTGCTAAATTCGGATCGTGCAAGTGCTGCGCTTCAAGAAGCTGTTAAAACTTTGTCAAAAGTTTCAAAGTCACCCACTGTGACTCTTGCCGAGATCGAACACTATTTCAAGGACAAGAATCACAACCAGTTCACTACCGCGCCTTTGGCCGTCGCCCTTCAGCGGGAGGTCAACGCTGGGCACCTGCTGAAATCGGGGACGAATACGTTTTCCGTTAAGTCTAACAAGAAACTGAAGCAAACCGAAATGCATCGGATGGATTCGCCGACCTCGGATGTGACATCGGATGGGAACGACACTACAAATGAAAACGGGAAACGAGTGAAGGTTCGTATATCTTCAATCCCTCTTCCCTTTCCGTCGCGTTGCTTTACTTTGAGTAGGAAGAAGCTTTTTTATCAATGCTTGTATTCATGAAACAATTACAAACCAAACTTGGTGACTGTGGTGTATTCGCTTGTGAAAGTGGCTGAAAAGAACGATCCGTTCCCGCGGACATTTGGCCAGATTCCTCATTAGTTAGACGCTGCGACTGAAAAAATATCGGGAGCGGCACACGGCCGGATGCGATGCATTGTTAGCAGTGGATATTCAGCTACCCATTTATTGTGTTAGTGCCTGAGAAACAATTACAAATGTGTGCAGAGCGCACTCATAAAATATGCGGTAACAATGTTCCCATGCTTTGGGTGAGGTCCCGCGGATTGGAGAACAAAATAAACCGTAGGAGTACATATGCCGCAATGGTGGCAAATGCGCCGTGTTAGCTTTCAGCAGCTGCTGCCATATTAAAAATATGACTGCCATATTTGTGTCTTGGCGGAGCACGCATTCCTAACATAGAAGAGCCTTCGAACACACTGATGGGGCGGATTTATTTATTCGGACTGCATGTTTGATGCGATTTGTAATGGGAAAGGTTGTGGTCTGCTGCCCGCTTGGCTGGTAGCAATGGAGCGCTAGGCTGTAAAGTGTACCTAAGCTCTATGTTTGGCGGTGGGCACTGGGCAGTCCACTTCATGGAATTAGTTATATGGTTGATGGTGACTGGTTAGGTAGTGTCAGAGTTTACATCATTTCCTGATTTGCCTGCACCTTACTCTTACATACAATATTCTGCATCCTGTCTGATTTTCACAATTCCTGTCTGATTTCGCCTGTCCCATAGCTCAGTTGGTTGAGCGCTGGACTCCCGGTAGCGAGAGCCCGGGTTCGAGTCGCCGTCCGGCGCTCGATATTTGAAACTCCTGACGGAGATGGTCTGCGGTTGGTGGGAGCAGCCGCAGCCAGTTGAAGTCAGTTGAGTGGGACAGGCCGGGTCCGGCTTGAAGGGCACGTTAAACTTTGGCATCTAAATTCTCCCGTTACCCGGAATTGCGCGATCGGACGGTAGGGGTCGGGTCTACGCAACAAGCTCTGCTTAGCGCGGGCTTCGGCTCTGTCACTCCGTCCATTCAAACATTCGAGCTAAATTTATTAAAAAAAAAACCTATAATATTTACCCTCGCACTTGTATGGGAGTGGATGGACTAACCTCGGTTTTCCGCGAATAACTAACGCAAAAAGGGGCCGATCGCGACGAAACTGTCAGTATCCTCGAATTAATCTATTTCACACCTAGATACGCTGAAAAGTTCATGGCCCGGACCGAAATGACCTTTGACCTATGATTTGTTTCTCGAGATCATGCATGGCCGGAATCGCGATTCGGCCTGACAGCTCGCATTGTCCGCACGTTTCCAGCCTTTTTTTGTGATTGTAGACGCTCAGACATGTGAAATGATGTTGGCCCGATGCATTAGGTGGGTGTCAACTGTCAAAGTCACGTTAGTCAAGTCAAATTATCTTGTTTTTTTCGAGTTTTACACGTCTCTAGGGTATTTTTTGGAGCTGATATCGAATTTAGCATCCATTGGAACAGTTACGAAGTAGTTTTAATGCCTTCGTAACATGTTACGACGCCGTCAGTGGTGGTTGACGCCTACTATGGATAGCCGGCAGGACGCCTACTAACTGATCGGAACTGACCTGACCTGACCCGACCCGACCTGGCTTAAATGCATGAAGACATCATCTGTGATCAAAATTAACATGAAATTAAAAAATACACACACACACAAAGCTTCACTTTACGAAGCTCTGGCAGGTCCCGATTTTCCCGACTGACCTGACCTCGGGAAAATCGGAAAAATCAAAAACCGAAAGGCCGCGCGTTTGCAAGCTTTTCGTGGTTTCAAACGTTCAAACATGTGATTTGACGTTGCTCCCATGCATTAGTGTGGGTGTCAAGGTCACCTGAAGGTCAGGTCAGGTCATTGACCTTTGGTGACCTCGGTTCACTTTTTCGAGTTTTACATGTTTCTTCTAGGCCAGTTTTTGGAGCTGATTTCGAATTTAGCAACCATTTGAACATTTACGAAGTAGTTTTGGCGCCTTCGTAACATGTTACGAAGCTGTCAGAGGCGGTTGACACGTATTACGAATACCCGTCACGACCCCTACCGGTTGACCTGACGTGACCTGACCCGACCTGGTCTAAATGCTTAAAGACATCATCTCTGGTCAAAACTAACACGATATTTGTGATCACCACCCCGGAAAACCCCGTAGCAGCCACACTTTACGGCTTTCTAACAGGTCCCGATTTTCCCGATTTTCGGGTCATTGACGTATTCGTATTCGTATTCGTTTATTAGGGCTTTTCCAACAGAGTGGCTATTACGGCCCAGTCAGTACATGTAAATATCACATTGCTAAAAAAATATGCTAAAAACACATAGGTACACACATATATCGGCACAAACATGCAAAGAATAAAAGAGTATAAGTCAACCAATGCTGCACTTTAAAATGCTCCATCAGCTGTCGCCTTGAGGCGGTCGCCGCCACCTCCCGCGGCAAGCCGTTCCAAGCTGCGGCAGCTCGGTAGGGAAACTGCCGCCTGGCCACCGCCAGGCGAACTCGGGGCAACTCGATCACCGCCGGGCCCGCGGCGATGGCGCGCGTTGCCCTCTCGGAGACGGAAGCGCGTGAGGGAAACATAGCTCGCAACGACTCGGGGGCAGCGGCGGCGAACAGAGCACGGTGCACATTGAACGCATCACGACCTGACATTGACCTGACGGTGCACATTGACCTGACCTGAAAGGTCACCCGATTATCTACATAGGACCTTAAAATTGGATATCATCTTCATCGGCTTCCTCTCGTGACGGGCAACACGCTCGTTTTTTCCGCGAAGCTCTAGCTCGATCGGGGGCCAAACGCGAGGGGGGTCGTACCCCCCCCCCCTTGTGCCGTCGAAGGACGCAAAATGGCCTGTGCCGGCGAGGGTTAGAGTTGGGCATCATCGGCTTCCTCTCGTCACGGCCAGCGAGCTCGTTTTTTTCCGCGAAGCTCTAGCTTGATCAGGGGCCGAACGGCAAGGGGTCCACCCCCTCCCCCCTCGTTGTAAAACGCTGCACACAGGCGAGTGTTCACTGTTCAGCTTGTGTATATAGATCGTTCAGAAATGTCTAGGTGCATTGAATTTGAGACGTATGCACGTGAATAGTTGGCATGGAACATTGCTGGCATCCTACTGTACGGTTTGAGCTGCGACTCGGAGCAATGGCATCGTCTAAAATTCTTGAGCTCGTTTGCACTCGTTCATAAATGTTTTTGTTTGCTACGTAGTACGTACGTTACTCCGAAGTCCGTATGCATTTCAGAAAACGAAGGTGATCTTTGACCCGAGCGAGGTGCGGAGGCCGGTGGGCGGGCCGCCGGCACCCAAACGTCTGAAGACGGCCATCACCCCGATGAAGGTTGTTGTCTCGACTGGACGGGGCACCACCACTCGCGCGTCGGCCTCCTCCACGCCGGCCACCCCGGCCGCCGGCGGCCGTCAGAGCGCGGCCGGAGCCGCCGGCGCCGGCTCCGCGGCCTCTGCTGGCCCGGGGAAGCCGACGTGCCACTTCTGTAAGCGGCCCGGACGCCAGGAGGTGGTGCTCGTGTGTCGCCAGTGCAAAACGCCAGGTGAGCGGGACTGGGACGTCACAGGGCTTGGTGCTGCTCGACCGGACACTCGTGCCCCGCACTGGACTCTGTGGTTGAACCTGTGAATTGTGACACTTTTGTAGCAGGACTAGGTGTTTATCGATATTCTAGAGACGTTCAACAAATAATTTAGAATCAGCTTATTTAAATAACACTTTTGCGAAGTCCTTTTGCATTGAACAGCTTTTTTCCAGCCTTACTTCTCTCCTCGTTCTCAATCATTCCCGACGAGGTTGTGTTTGTTTCCGCTGAACTGATCCACCACCCTCACTGCCTCCCCACAGCCCACCCCAGCTGTCTGGGCTACAGTAAACGACTGACCAAGAAGATCCAGGATAAGCCATGGACGTGCATGGACTGCAAGACGTGCGTGCTGTGCCGAGACGTCGGCGGGGTAAGTACAGGGGGAGACGGGTGCGCAGCGGGACGCTGAACGCAGCGGATCGGAATACGGTGAATGTAGTTACTCGTATAATGAGAAACCACGGTGGGAGACACACTGGAGGGGTATGTTTATGGAAGTGTCATCCAACAATTTCAAAACGATAGTCCATAGTTTCATGTGATAAATTTTCGTGGATATTGTCGACACCTTTGAAATTCATGACTCCGGTTCAATAAAACTGTATGCCATGATGAACCGATAAACGATGTTCCTGTATCGCCCCAGTACCCTTTCTCCGTCGCCCTCACTGACACCCGGCCCGGCCGCGTCTCCGCCCCCAGGAGCTCATCTTTTGCGACCACTGCGACCTGGCGTTCCACATGCTGTGCCACCAGCCCAAGGTGCGCCGGAAGCCCAGCGGCGAGTGGATGTGCTCCGGGTGTCGGCGGGGTGCCGGCGCCCCATCCAGGATGGGACGGCCGCCCAAACTCGGTCAGTCACACGCAGTGTGGAGACCAGGGAGAGGATGCGGATGGGGAAGGAATGCTGCGATGTGATAGTAAAATGAGATCGTACAGGATGCTGAGATTGATGGCCATTATTTGGCTTCATAGTTGCATAGTAATATAATTATTTTTTATTACCAGAGATTATTTCAATAGCATAAATGGTGAAATATCGTTACTGCAGACATTTATACCGGATGTGCGATAATTTGTCCGTCGTTCTCAGAAATCTAAATAATAGTTGATCCATGGTTGCACCACATCACAACCTTTGCCTTACCCAGACATGCTCGCGTCTTCCTCCCCAGCCTGGAAGCCGGAGCCTCCCCCCAAGTCTCCCCCCAAGCCGGCCGACTCCAAGCCCCAGTCGGCGCCAGACGCCAAGCCCGTCGATGTAGACGTCAAGCCGCTCAGGACAGCTAAGCCGGCGGCGAGCTCGACCCGAGCGGCGACCACGGCGACCACGGCGGGGGCGGCGGGGGCTGCGGCGGCGACGCGTCTGGGCTGGCCCGCCCAGCTGATGGCAGCCCCCGTGGACCCTACCGTTCCGGATGTATCGGACTGGTCCGTCGCCAAAGTGGTTGCCTATTTCAAACGGCACGGCTTCGAGAAACACGCACCGGCCTTCGAGGAGCATGTGAGTAATGGAGGAAAGGGGACTGGGACGAGAAGTGAGAGGTTTTGGGTAAAATGGCGATGTTGATACGGGTATCGGTTTTGCAATATTTCAAAACGAAGTTGATACCACCGATGATAGAGAGGGTTTGTGGCGTTATGAATGATTTGCGAGCTTACTGCAAATTTACTGGCTTTATTATGATAATACAGACATGGAGGTTTTTTAATTTGAGCTGTGTGGCCCCTTCCCCTTCCCCCGAGTGAGCTAGCAGCCTCTTACCCCACTATCGCTGTCCGCCGACAGGAGGTGGACGGCCCGGCTCTGCTGATGCTCTCCCGACTGGACGTCCTCCGCGGTCTGGGGATCAAGCTCGGGCCCGCCCTCAAGATCTACAACCACGTCAAGCTGCTGCAGACTCGGCGTCGTGCCTGCCTCGACTTCTGCCTGCTCTGAGGAGGAGGCACTGGAGTTCGATCGATCTCGATCGGTTGAGGAAATAGGAGGGTCTGATAGGTTAACTGGACAGTGGAGCTTCACTGCAGGACACGCGGGTGTGAAAAGTGTGAGCAGCGAGCTTCCACGCGGGTCATACAGGGTCAGCGACCAGCGTGTGGGGGCGCGAGTGAGTGTCGCCAGTGACTGTGAGGAAGACTGATCGGTGGCGCCACCTTCCGCGCAGGTGCACAAACCTCTGCTTCTGTGACTTGCCGATAGACGACGGGCTACATTCGAGTTCCTGTTTCCGCTACTTACCGATAGGCGGCGGTCGGCCACTTTGACTTGGTCGTCGGTCAACGATCGTTGGACGTTGATCTGTGTGTGTAATGTACCCGAGAGGCTGAGACGAAACCGCTCTGAACTTCGCTGATGCTGTCTGACACTTGCCGGAGTTTTCCAATGGATGCATGCACGTGTAACGCTTCTGGGCAGCTGACCGCCACACCAGCATCGAACTATCATTTCATGTGATACCCTGGAAGTTGAGAGCAAAGCAGGTTGTGGCATTACCGACTGCAGAGACAGCCCGAACTTTTTGAACAGTGATGCTTTGTGTGAGCGTCATGTTCGGCTAGTGAAAGCCTGGATAGGTACATTTTCGGCGTTATGCTGACGCATTTTTCTCGTGTCCGTTGGTTGCGACTTGCGGTATGCCGAGACGAGAGACGTTCCATTTGAGCTCTTCTCCTGCTCAATTTGAATATGTAAACCGTACCTCTTTTCTAGTTGTCACTGTCATAGGTAAGGCAGAGCTGTGGCTTCATGTTGCCCTCATTCCCTAGTCCAGGGCGGGGGGGGGGGGATGATTGCATCCCGCGTCTTTCTCGAGCCGCCCTCTGCTGAATGCAGGGTCGGCTGTCGACTGTAGCACTGAAGCGCCACAGTAGGAGGCTCGGTCGGCATTCACGTTGTTGACTGTAGCTGGTGATGGCTAACTGATCGCTTTGTATGTATGCCTGTGAATCGCTCAATAGATCGTGTAAATATATGATTTATAAAAACTGCAGTTATTTTCGGAGGATAGTTATGTAGCCCTGTCGCTTTTGCTAGGTGGCAGCACTAACTAGCTGGATAGATGTCGCGGTGGACGAGGAGCTTCTGAGTAACGGCCAATGGGTTCATTGCGTACGTTAAGTTGGGTTCGTTGCGTATCGTATCGAATAAGTCTTATGCTCCCAAGAAGTCGGCCTCCGACTCTTCTTTTCGACTTATGCGACCCGCATATCCTCAAAGCCTAAGCACTCGTTCCGAGCTGGCTTTTTCCTGTTGGTCGTGATCATGACCTAAGGTGATAAGGTCAAATTTCCCAGTTCATTTTCACGGTCCATTAGATCTTATTCGATCCTTGAATACTGGTTGAATTCTATCAATCATTTTTTTCGGCGTCTATATCACTCACTTAACCCGCGCCCCACTTGGGTCTGCATGTAACGCGCCCTACTGGGGGAGGGGGGGGGGGAGCCTAGCCCCCTCCTAAATCCAAAAACACTGGACCGATCGTCAAAATTCAAACAGCGTCTGATAGGACCCTTGTTCACATTTTGGGCTCTGGCCGCTGGCTTACAAGTCCGATCAGGCTCATTTTTAATTTACACACTCGTGAATAGACGCTTTAGATACCCTGAGGGTACCAAACTTGTGCTTTGATTTTCAGGTCAGGTCAGGGTCACCGGTCAGGTCATCACAGGTCACGGAAATATTATAGCATGCGTCGGTTACGTGACACATGTTTTATGATCCATTTAGGTCATATATTTCGAATTTGATGTTTTTTGTGTCATTCGAGGTTATTTTGAGTTGAATTTAGCTTAGGTCAGGTCACTCTCAGGCCAAAAAGGTCAAATTTTGAAGTTAAAATTTTTCAACAAAAATGGTGTGTATGGGATGCAGTTTGAGCTCAGGAACACGATGGGGCTATCTATATTGGTGTACGATGTCAAATAGGCGTACTGAAAAATGATTTGAAAAAAAATTAGGTATAGGTACCTAATTGTGATTGTTTTGCAATAATGCGTATAGCTTGGCCATTTTTGAAGATATTTAGCTAAAAGTTAAAACTTGCTAGAGTAAGTCATAAGCATGTGTTCTATCACAATATTGTGGGACCGATTCCCTTCTTCCATATCATGATAAAGAGAGTACACGTGCAAGCTTTGTTACATAGAAATAGCCGTCACTTTCCCCACGTGTCGGCACCGTCCACCGACCCGGCGGGTCGGCGGACCGGTCCTTCATTGTGCAACCACCCTGCATATAACGCACAGGCACTGGCGAACCCCAATCAGAATCAGAACCACCGTTGCAATACAAGTCTCGGCCCGCTCAGTCGTCTCTCCTTCCGCGCCTCCGCGATAATGGTGGCAGCGGCGGTCGAGGGGACTTGTGCCCCTCACCACGGACCCCAGCCTCTACATCTGCTCTGACATCGCAGACTGGTTAGTCCGTGCTCCGTGACAGTGTATCGCCCCTACGTCGCGTCATCGACTAGGGAGCTGATCATCCTGGACTCGTCATCGTCCAGCAGCACCGTCTCCAGTGAGTAGCTCTGCCCAGCAAGACTATCTGCCCTGCGGCAAGGTCATCAGCTACCCTGGACTACTACGGAGCCCGCCGACAGCGCACGGCTCATCAGCCCGCGCCGTCCTCCTCAGCATCATCGAGTGATGGACACCACCTCGCTGAAGGACTCAAGCTCGGAGGAGAGAAGATAAAACAAAAACTTCAACGCTAAATTCAAGACAAATTGGCACCGAAATCAAGAAAATTCACCCATTATGAACTTTTGCTGTATTTTCGTCAAAAAGTGACAGTGAAATTGTGCTGTGAAATTTGTTTTAACTTCGATGTGTTTCAAAAACCGTACTGTTTCATTATCCGTTTTCGTCAGTGTTCTGTCGTTTGTTGTGCTTCATTGTGGTTGCTCACCCCAAAATTTACGGAGAAATTGCAAGTGCATTTAATTTTTGCCTGCACTTTGCCGTGTCATTTTGACACTAGTAAACGTAAAAAGAGCCTGCTCTCAACGGTATGAACATTCAAATACGTTAATCGTGGTCAATTCACTGAAATTATATTGTATTGATATTCGGCCAGAGATGCCGAGGGCCATGGAGATGCCCAGGGACGGTCCCCGCCAAGAGTGCGGAGGGATCGCCCGGTAGTAGGTGTAATTGTCACGAAACTTACTTATCTGTTCATACCATTTTGTGATACGCTCATATGAACATTTCTTTCTCCGTCAGCTAAACGTTTCCTCTCTTTGTTATGATCGCTTCGGTTCCCTACGCTTCCCTGGGGGAGGGAAGATAATGTGGGACCGATTCCCTTCTTCCATATCATGATAAAGAGAGTACACGTGCAAGCTTTGTTACATAGAAATAGCCGTCACTTTCCCCACGTGTCGGCACCGTCCACCGACCCGGCGGGTCGGCGGACCGGTCCTTCATTGTGCAACCACCCTGCATATAACGCACAGGCACTGGCGAACCCCAATCAGAATCAGAACCACCGTTGCAATACAAGTCTCGGCCCGCTCAGTCGTCTCTCCTTCCGCGCCTCCGCGACAATATTCCGTTTTTTTTCGAAAAGTCAAAAACTTTTTGAAAAAAAAAAATAAAAATATAAATTTTGAATTTTATTTTAAATAATTTTCAAAATTTAAAAATCTTAATTTTTTTATTTAAAAATTTTGAAAATCCGAGATAGCAGTTCGATAGCGCAGTCTATTCTGAGTCCTCTCATGCAAAGAAATTGGATCTATGAGCTCTTGGGAGCGATTGCCGTGGTTCAATGTTTTGCGACGAAATCGGCCGAACATGACGTCACTCTGACGTCGATTCCGGTCGACCTATGCTAGCTACCAAGTTATAGCTTGACACAAGGTGTCAAATTGATGCAGCCGAAGGTAGGTACTGAAAGTTTCGTATCGATACGTTTAGCGGTTAAGAAGCTATTGCAGAAAACGAGAGGGGGCTGTGAATAACCCCCTCCCCCAGTGGGGCACAGGTTAAGAACAGGAGCAGGTGTCATAACACGATAGGTGGGTTCCTACCATACTACGTCGTTGCTAAACGAGGCTCATGTCTAGGACACGCCTGCAACTCTAATAACAGTGTGTGCCGCACCGTCTGCCACCCAGTGCAGTGCACAACAATCGATCGGTTCTGGTTCCAGTGGGATGCTGCGCCTTTTGAACCACGCGGTGGGTCGCGGTCCCATCGGGCTGGTGTCAGTTCTCAGGCTTTTTAACAGCTAATTCCGGTTAAGCTAAATATAAACGGTGAACCGTGCGAGATTTAGCGTCTCCGTCAAATACTTTCATACTCCCGGCTCTCCGTAGTAAAAGATGTACAAGATTTAGAAGACGTTATTATTCAAAACAACATAGGGCCAAAACGACAAACAGACTGCAACAGTTAAAGAATAGACGCGCAACTAAAATTTGGACAAGAATTACCCATTGTGGGGGAATGCTACCCCCAAGCCAAAGAACAGGAGCAGTCACCTACCTCGGACGCTGCCAGCCACGAAGCGCCCCGATAGACGGCGAGCGCTACGTTTTAAGTGGTCCGAGGCGAAAGCATGTGACGTGGCCGGCCCGGGGTAGCGGCCGGCCCCGTCCCATGACGGCGGCTGCACCTGAGTCCTACCCAGGCGTCGCTGACATTACACAGGAGGTAGGTAATCAGGTGTAGTCATTTACACACCCTCTTCACTTCCCAACTAACTCCAAATTGGCTGAGACCTCATCGGGCCGCGGGCCGAATATCATAGCTAACTAAGCAAAACTGCAACCATGATGCTTCAGAGTCTAGTGATGTCAATTACGGAAAATCGGAATACCGATACCAAACCAAATACCAACCAAAACCGTGGGGAAATACCGAAACCAAACCAATTTGGAATCATGATGAAAATACCAACTTTTTACCAATTTTTTAGCCTCTTATACATTAGTGAGGGCTCATGATACGCAACAAAATGCCGATTACACTAGGATTGAAATACCAAATACCAAGTTGGTATCGGTTTGGTATCGGTATACCAAAAAGTTGGTATCCGATTGACATCTCTACTACAAACATTATATATCCATCACACCTCAGCCCCCGTCTCAGCGGTAAAAACATGAGTGGTTTCTATCGTCCGGCGCGTCCGGCATGGTCCGGCTTTTCTCGCTCGGCCGCGGTTGGGGTGTCGATACTGACCGCGACCGATGGCCGACGGCGATGACTGGCCCGTATTGCGCCGTACATACGACTGCGATCTGCGGTCCCACTCTGCGGTCAGGGTAGCGTGGATTGTCGTAGGATAACCGAAACCTGCACGCTATAGCCGACCATTATACTCGTATACAATCGGTCTATAATTGCGAGGCAGGGTTATGGCCTGGGACTATGCACTTTGCCGTATTCAACTAGATAGGTGATACCTGAAGGCTGAAAAGGTGTTAAGAATATTAACTAACTAAATTGTAAATAGGTAAGTGTAGCGGCATTTACCATAGTATTTTGCGTAACGAACATGACCGACATGACATGACCGAGCACACCCGAATCGAAATGAATCCTACTTCTAGGGATTGATCAGTGATCATCGCAAGCGGCAAATTTTTAAACAATACCTAGGCATGGGTCATAAACTCATAGGCCGGAGCCCTGAAGCTGTCCTGTCTCTGATTCCTGGAAACCCTAAATGTAGTTTTCTACTGGGATTCTCAAAACCAGTTTTGTAATAAACACACAAAAATGGACTTCCCGTTTGGCTAGATCGAGATTGTGGCAGGTGGCTCGGCGGGATGCAGCAAATCCGGTGGCTGGAATTCCCCCAGAATTAGCAGTCAATGCAATTTCAACGGAGCATAGTGCGAGGGTGGGTATCACTGCAGACCAACAAATATCAAGATAAATAGACGTGCAATGTGCATGCAAGGAGACATGCAAGCGCGAAACACTAAGTAGACAAGAGAACGGAAATGAGGAAGCGAAGAGAGGATAGAATAG